GTTTCGAATACACGTATGGAAAATTTTGTCTTATTTTTTCTATGAAAAGTCAAAAATGGAAACAAAGAGCCATTTTGAGTTAATCAAATTAAAATTAATTTCAAGTGAACCAATTTTCAGTCAAAGCAAATCCATTTTGCTTTCAAGCCAATTAAACTTTATGCAATTCTCAACAAAGTTTCTAAGTTTCAATTATAATTGTCAACCCTACTTATGATAAGTATATAGATTGTATCAGATTATTTTATTATTTAAATTAATTCTAAAATAAATTTAAACATCATATTAATTATAAGAAAAAAAAAACTTAAAAAGGAATAGTATGTAAATTAAATTGGATGGTTCTAATTTGATTCATATCATCTACTTTTTTTGTTTTATTTCCAGCCTTCTCTTTCCCTTTAAACTAAAAGGGAAAAACTAGGGAAAAAAAAAAGAAGAAAGTCCCATTTTGAAATAGGGCCTCCTCAAACCATCAACTTTTTATGTTATGTATGCAATCTTCCTCTTTCCCCCTCTGTTGCGCTATTTAATTCAACAAACCCCTCTCTTAATGTTCAACCTCCGGCTGATATTCCTCCCACCACCGCCTCTACTTCAGCCCCCATTCCCCCTAAAATTCCTGCCCTTATCGTTCAACCTCCAAATACCAATCATCCTTCCCACCCCAGTTCGACCATCCCTAATCAAACTCCCCAACTGAAGATTCTTGAACATCATAATCCCAACAGTGTTTGGTTCACTTCCGAGCAACATAATCTCACCGAACAAATTTGACGCTCTTCTTGACTCCCAATCAGAGGCAGCCATCTTTGAAAACCCCTCCTCCAATCTCCTCACTATGTCCAAACCCAACAGTGAAACCCAAAATCAAACTTCTACAAGCAGTGCTCAACACCACAAAAACCTCAGAGGCAAACACCCTAGAAAGCCTCCCAACTCCTCAACCAAATCCCAATGACTCTTCCAACCATGCTTCTTGGAACATTAGGGGATTCAATAATTCAAGCAAAGTCATCACTTGCAAGCAATTGATTAAAAAACTCAATCTGGATATGATTTATCTCTTGGAGAATAGGATTAATGTTTATTCTCTGACTGATCCCTGTTTTTGTGCTTCTCATATCATTTTCAATAATGAGGATAGCTATAATAATTTTGATCACTCAAAGTCTGGTCAGATCTAGATTAAGTGGCATTCCTTGAAGTTGCAATTTACTTCGTTCTTAAGTTCCTCCCAACTTATCAGTGGCATGATCTCAGTTGGTAGTTCTGCCTCTTTCCAAATTGTTGTCATTTATGCCTCAAACTCTCCTAAGGAACGCTCTACCTTTGGCAACAAATCAGAGACATAGCTCCCTCTCCATCCACTCCCTGGATTGTGTTCGAGATTTCAACTGTTGTAGATATCAAAATGAAAAATCTGGGGGATCTATTTTGCACTTTGCAAATTGGGGAAACTTCAATCCCTTATTTTTGACACGCAGCTGAAAAATATGGCCTCTATTGGCCAATTTTTTACCTGGTTTAACCAGCTAATTGAGAATCCTATCCACATCAAACTTAACAGAGTCTTAGTTAATGATGCCTAGCTTGATGCTTATCCTAATTCGTTTTACTCTATGGGGGAATCGTTATGCTCGGACCATTCTCCCATTGTGCTTAATGATTACAACCCCCATTCTAAGCAACACCGATTTCATTTTAAGAATTACTGGACTAAGGTGGATGGATACTGGGGCATTATCCTCAAATGTTTTTTTGGGGGCTTATCATGGTTACCCGATTGTGGACTTTTGTAACAAGCTTAAGAAAATCAAAACTTGTATTAAAATAAAGTGTTGGGCCTCATATTCATCTATTGAGGATTCTCTGAGAGATCTTTACAGCCAACAAAAAGATTTTCTTTCCCTTTTGGATGCTAATTCAAATAACATTGATCTTAATTACAACCTTAAAGATATGAACAAAAAGATTTCTGATTTTACCAACTCTTGGCCTTCATGGATTATTCAAAGAACCAAAGCAAAATGGTTGAAAAATGGTGATGATAATATCAAATTCCTTTACTATAAAATTAAGATGAGAAAGAATCACATTGGTGTCTCTATCATTGCGGCTTTTGAAGGGCACTCGAGCAACTACACTAATGCCATTCATATTATTACCCAACATTTTCAAAATGTGTACAATCCCCCCCAAACACTGAACCTCTCTTACTTTCCTCCTGGCACTATTGTTCCTCATGATATTCACACTACCCTTATTGATCCTGTTACTAAGTCAAAAATCAAAATGGTTGTCTTCTCAGGTGCCCCTTCCTCTTCACCTGGACCTGATAGTTTTAATTTTCATTTCTATAAATCTGGTTGGCACATTATTGTTCCTCATCTTTACAAAGCGGTGAAATCCTTTTTTGAAAAAGGTTATCTTCCTAGAAGTGTTAAGGCTACTAACATTGTCTTAATTCCCAAAAATAATCATGTTGGCTCTATTTCAAAATTTAGGCCAATATCTCTGTGCAACACTATCTACAAGATAATTTCCAAGATCTTGGCTGCCAAGCTTAAGCCCATCATCAATAATACATCTCAATCCGGTTTCATTAACAAAAAGATTTCCACCGACAATGCTATTCTTGCTTCTGAACTTCGGGGATATTTTAAAAAATGCAAGAGATCTAGCTTTATGTGTGCTAAACTTGATATTAGAAAAGCTTTTGATTCTATTTTGAGGGAATTTTTACATGAGAGGATGGTTCAAAAAGACTTCCCACCTATCTATATAGGTTGGGTAAAGGCTTGCATCATGAATGTTCACTTCTATGTTTGTGTGGATGAGGCATTGGAAGACTTTTTCCCCTCAATGGTTGGACTTAAGTAGGGATGTCCTTTAAGTCCACCTTTATTGCATTGTCATGGATGCTTTCTCTTGCCTTTTAGACTTTCCTATGAATGGGGTTAGCTTTGAAGCTATTAAATTCAAATTTCCAGTCTCTCGCATATTCTGTATGTAGATGATGTGTTAGTTTTTGGTAAAGCCTCGGTGCATAATTGTAATTTTTAAAAAGCATTCTCTCCAAATTTGTTGATTCCACAAGGAAGAGGTGAAAAGTGAGAGTACAACAACAACAACAAGCCTTTATCCCACTATGTGGGGTCGGCTACATGAATCATTTTTCTCCTTTGTGCCTATTAAAAGTCAAATTCTTGTTTAAATCTAATAGATAAAGATCATTTCTAATATTTTCTAACCAAGTCATTTTAGGTCTGCCTCTACTTTTCTTAACATAAGTCAAATCTAATACCTCTACTTTCCTAACCGGGTTATCGGAAGGCCGCCGTTTTATGTGACCAAACCATCTAAGGCGACTATCTCTAATCCTATCTTCTACTGGAGCTACTCCAACCTTTTCACGTATATGTTCATTTCGTATCATATCTCTAAGGGTAAAGCCACTCATTCACCTGAGCATCCTCATCTCTGCCACACTTAACTTAATATTATGTTTCTCTTTTAATGGCCAACATTCGGCACCATAAAGCATTGTAGGCCTCACCACCATCTTATAGAATTTTCCCTTAAGTTTGAGTGGTACTTTTTTATCACACAATAAGCCCGATGCATTCCTCCACTTCAATCATCCAACTTGAATTCTGCTGATAATATCTCCATCTATTTCACCCTCACTCTAAACAATAGATCCAAGATATCTAAAACGTGTACTCTTATTAATGACTTGATCGCCCAAAGTCACAATCCCCTCACTAGGTCTATTACTACTAAAATTACACTCCATATATTCCGTTTTAGATCTACTCAAGCGAAAACCTTTAGACTCTAAGGTTGACCTCCATAATTCAAGTTTACCTTCAACTCTCTCTCTAGTCTTATCTATAAGAAAAATATCATCACCAAAAAGCATACACCAAGGTACATCCTCTTGCAAATGTCTAGTGAGAACATCCATGACTAAAGCAAAAAGATATGTGCTTAAGGTACAAACTAAGAAATTCAATAGCTCATTAAATAAGGTCAAATCAAATACATTTAAATATATGCCCACTTTACAAGTTGCAACATTCTTAAACAATACCTTGCTATTTATGAAACACTTCAAATGAGCTTCTATGCTCTACACACCATTATCAGTTCAAAAGAACAACAAATGCTTTTTTGATTTGGGTTTCTTTCAATTTGTATAGAAAGTAAGGATTTACATCCGACCATTGATGAATGAAACAAAAAAACAGGAAATTTACTAGTCATTGTTAGTTACCGGTCATATCCTTAAGCTTGACATCATTCTCCAATAGCAAAAGTAATAGATTAAGTCTGGCATTTTCCTTCTCATGGTAATTAACAGGAACCATTTAGACAAATCATTTTCAACGTTATTCATCTACAAAGCTCACTTGAGCGATTCACCAAACAATTTAAAGACCAGTAGATCTAATAACATATGAAGAGGAAATACATGCTCCAAATCCACCCAAGCAAATAAATATAATAAAACCACTAAAAGACAGTGGAATGACAAGTCAAGCAACCAAGATGACCAAAAACATACTAACATTTAGGGGCTGTTTGGTTGCACCTAGGATTTGATTTAAGTAGGATTTCGTAAATCCTCTAAATCCGGATTTCAGAAATCCCGAGGGGCCTAAATCCTGAAAATTGCATGGTAACATTCATGATAAATCTTATTAAATCTCATGTGACTGTTTAGCTATAGAGCGGAATTAACAAGCGGACTCTTCCTCTCGAGTCAATGGATTTCGTAAATCCGACAAAAAAACGGAATTTCGGAAATCCTGGATTTAGTACCAAAAGGCGGAATTTTCCGTCTACGGCGGCTTACATTTGCCATGAGATTTGGTTTTGCGTTTTAGGTTGTTCGGCTGGATTTCGTTCAAATCCGCCTCAAATCCGGCCTAAATACTGCTACCAAATAGCCCCTTAAAAGGAAAACCTCGAGTGAGTAAAATCAACAAGGCAGTCTGGAAAGAGCGATTCCACTATCATAAAGTGAAACAATGCAAGTGACACAACAAGACTTCTAACCCAGATGTCTCGGATAACATAATACTAATAAGAAGACTATACAAATGGGTACTTCAGATGTAGAAAAATTTTTCCACCGCCTATGAGAATAAAATGCTTAAGGTAAATTAGAATGCCTTGCAAGAAAGATGCGGGGACTGACTCAAACGCCCTTTTTTAACAGATCAAAAAACCCTTTAAGAGAACTTTGCTCTTCCTCTCATTATCTTTGTCTGCTCTCCTCCAAAACTCCTTATATCTTTCCTGCTCTAGAAATTCCTCTTTAGAAACCTACACGAACTAAGCAAGTGAACAATGTATGACAAATTCCAGGCTGTTTAAACGAAAGCCAGAAATGCAAAATAATCGTGCATGACAAGGAAAGCAGCATCACCGACATCAACAAACAAAAGAGAGAGAACAGCCAAAAAAGAGAAGAGCTCGCCTGAGTAAAGTAGTCCAACGCCCGGGAGAATTCTCCCTTTGCTTGGAACTCCCGTGCAAGGTCGAGCAGGCGGACGGCTTCCCCGACGCGGCGGGATAGAGCAGAGCTAGCATCCCGCTCGGAGTCAGTCACGGGATCAAACCCTACCGAAGGAGCAGCGGAAGAGTTACTGGGGATGATTAAGAAGGCAGATATGGGGAGCGAGAGGAAGAGAAGACTTCTCCTAGTGCTGTTCTTGCTCCAGGCCTCCCATGGGATCGAAGCAGCTACGGGCTTCTTCACTTCATTTGCTCGACGATTGGAAATCTGAGAGATACAAGGAAGACGAGGAGGTATTGCCATACAGGTGCTCATGGTGCTTGTGGCCGCCGTCGCCGTGTCCGCCACACTTCCGCCGTCATCTGGAATTTCACAGTCTCCTTCCGGTTATTTTAATGGAGGAAAAGGTCCGAGCTTTCGTGGCTAGCAATGAATCCAGAGATTCGGAGTTTCCACATCCTTCCAATTCTACTATTTTGCACTTTAATCTTATACAATTTTGCAGATATCTACCGTGAAGGCATAGGGCCCATTTGCAGGAACAATTATTACGTCTTCGGACCGGATGTATAGAAGCATCCGGTTGTAGGTAAAAAAAATACGGTATCGTGGTGTACCGAGTTTTTTGAAAAACTCGGTACAAAAAACTCGGTACACCGCGGTACAGTGTTTTTTTTACCTACGACCGGATGCAAAAAACTCGGTACACCGCGGTACTGAGTTTTTTTTGCCTACGACCGGATGCTTCTTGCATCCGATCAACCGAACCAAATAAAAATTCCATTTGCAGGGAACGATTATTACGTCCTCTGACCGGAGGTAACGTTCCGCCGTCAGTAACATGTGGTCGCGTGCTCTAACTCTTTATCGTGCGGCCCGACGACTTGATCCAGACCGGAACCCAGGATTGTTATGTTCGCGTATTACTAGGTATTACTCTGTATTTGCTCGGTATTGCTCGTTATTGCTAGGTATTGCTTGGCAATAACGAGAAATACCGCTATGTGAAGACCAATATCGAGCAATACCAAGCAATACCGAGTTGTACCGAGTTTTTTTAGAAAAACTCGGTACGACTCAGTATTTCACGGTATTTGCTCGGTATTGCCGAGCAAAATCGACCAATACCTAGCAATACCGAGCAATACCTAGCAAAATCGAGAAATACCGAGCAATCCTGGGTTCGTTCCGGGTCGGGTTGTCGGGGGCGCGCGGTAAATAGTGAGAACACGTGGCGCAATTCTACTGGCGGCCGAACGTATAGCTACGTCCTGTGACCGGACCAAATAAAAGTTCCATTTGCAAGTTCAAAATAAATTACAAATTATATTAAATAATTATTTTTAAATTTAACGTATAAGTTAGCACTATTTTATAAATAAAATAACATTGAAACAAACGTGTTAGATTTTTAAAAAAGTTTGAAAAGGCCCGAATGATATTATTATGGATACAAATTTGATAAGCATATTAGTTTTAAAATCTTAAAATTTATTTTTAGATAAATATGATACAAGAGTTATTAAATAAAGATGGTAGAGTTATTAATTCTTTAAATATTACACTAATTTTAAAATAAATCTATAATTTTTTAAATTCATTCTAACCAAACTTTGATAAGAATATTCTACTACTATCATTCAAATATAGGATTATCCAAATAGTAGTACAGACAATTTTCAAAATAGTCCCTAAAGTATTCATGTGTGATAAATTTCATCACAAAATATCATATTACTATAATTACAAAATTAATCCAAAATAATACCTCATATTGTAATTGTAATATAAAACTAATCCCGATTTAGTCCTCCGACTGTATAAAATGAATCCCAATTTAATCTTAAAAAGATCATTTTAGATCAATTATATATAGTCGAGGGACTAAATTAGAGAAACATTATATTCGGAGACTTAAATGATCTTATAAAAATAGTCAAAGATCTATTTTGAAACTTAAAACAAATATATCTACAATATTTAAGAACTTAAGATCCCAGGGCTAAGACCCAACACCTCCCAAATCATTGCAGTTGGAGAAATTATTTTGTGCGAACACTGGACGGTGTCCAGAGACCAACCAGAACATGCCATGTCACTTTTTTGCTTGTACCAGTGCTCAATACCGCTCTGTAACGAATGACATGATGCATTTTGATTAATCTTCAGACCGTCTGATATCTGCACAGAATAATTTCTCCTGTAGCTGTGTCCATAGCAACAAAGCAGTTTGAGCATGTATTGTTTCCAGTAATATCAAAGAATACAATATTTATTCGCATTACAAATTGTTAAAAGTGGCTCCCAATAGAGGTTGATAGCATTAAATAAGCCAAAGAATTTAGGGTACGAATCACATATACTTGGAAAAGGCAATATACAGGAGCACAAGATGAAATTATAGCTGAAAGCGGCCTTGTGGAAATTGGAACAAAAACATGAGACGCGAACTCAACAGCAACTCCCTGGAGGAGGAGAATCAGTTCGCTGTTGACTCTGGCTAAAAATGTTCTTCTTCACTCCTGTAGAACCCTCAGCCAAAAGGCTTGGTGTTTCCAATATCTGCTTCAGCACATCAAATATGTTATGAATGAGAAATTTATCTACTGATAGGGCTCATTAGCAGTTAGAAGTTATATATTTCATGTTTCATAAGATAATAATTTAATATATTTGAGAACAGAAACAATATATTTGAGAAGTTTCAAAGGGAGGTCAAAAGTAATGTTCACAAATGTAATATTTTCTAAGATGTGTTTTTTGTAGCTCAAAGAAATTAGATGGGTCGTTAGTAAGCAGAAATTATTCTATGCAGACGCCGAACGCAGTTTATCGTCCAGAGACCAACCATAATGCGCTACATCAGCAGTACCGAGCCGGCTACAGAGCGCTACCGAGCAGTACCTAGCCGGGTACCGACCAGGAGGTGATGTGGCACATTCTTGTGGGTCTCTGGATGGCGTTTGGCGTCCACGCAAAAAATAATTTCTTGTTAGTAAGGGGATGTTTGGTTATATTGTTTTCATAATGCAAGCATTTTAAGAATGCAAGTAAACACCTTTCATGGATTCTAAGCATGTATGTATTATTTGCTTGATTGTAAATTATATATATATATATATGATGGAGCCAATAATGGGAAGGGGTAGGGGAGAGGCGTCAGCAACGAAAATGAAGGAGGGCCACGAGATCGAGTTCGGGCTATGGAAGGGGATGGAAGGGGTAGACAAATCGGAGCAAGAGGGTGGCGGGGTCACCGGCATCAGAGATGGAGGGTATGAGATCAGGCTTGGGCAAGTCCTCGTCGAGAAAGATAGGAGATGGACGATGAGATTGGACTTGAACGACACAAACACGGTTTCCCTGCATTTGGAACTTGACTGATTTTGAAAAGTTAAGAAAATGGGGTTCTCACATAGACAAGAAGTTCAAAGCAAGAAGTTGCTTAAATTGATTAAAGAGTTGCAGGATTATATGTTAATGGTCAAATGGTTAAAACTTCAAAAAAAGAAATAAAATTTGATTGATGCTCGTTAGCTTTTGCGTTTGTGGCATTTTGTATATATACCTTTAGGACAAGTTCCTCAAAGCATCGCTCTACATTGCTTTGAGTTTTTGCACTGCACTCCAGAAACAAACAACCATACTCCCTTGCAAAATCTATGCCCTCCTCCTTTGTAACAGCTCTGGCATTTAACTGATGAAATCACAAGGAAATTTCAGGAGGTCAGTCAATGGATGCTCGTAGTTATAAGTGAAGAACAGGACTAAAGAAAGAATAGATTTGGAAGCAGGCATTCAAGCAATCGTAGCATGGAAAAAATGGAAGATTAGCACGACTATATCCACAATAAAATGAATGTCAGAAGGAAGTGGATCAACAGTATCGATCTCGGTATACCTTATCAACTTTATTTCCAACAACCATCTTGATGCAATCTTGATTTGTAGAGTAGAGTTCTATCTCCTTGGCCCAGATATCAGAAAGATTGGTGAATGTATCCCTTCTAGTTACATCATAGACTGAAATCAATGAGGAAAAGCCACAATATATTTTAGCTCAGAGTCTGTATTGAAAAAATAATTAAAAAGATCTAATGAAATTGACTAATACATATAATATTATAGAACGACATCATGAAATTATTCTGAGACTTTAGAAAATTTTGATATGCTTGAATATTATTATCATGAGAATTTTAGTGTGTGTGTATATATATATCCATGCATGTAACATCTTGTTGTGGGACTATTTTGGTTCCTTTTAAGAATTTGGGAAACCAAAATGGTCATTTAATATAGTTGATGACCATTTTGATCCTTCATAAAAAGTAAGGGATTATTTTGATTATTTTCTCCTAAAAACAACAACAACGTCTTTTTCCCACAACATGGGATCGACTACATGAATCCTTTTTCTTTATTGTGTCCTACTATGAGTCAAATTCTCATTTAAATCTAATAAAAATATATTTAGGTATACATTTACCGTTCTTAACATAGGTTGGATCTAATTCATCTACTCTCGTAACAGGGTCAACGGAAGCCTAGCGTTTTATGTGATCAAAACATCTAAGGTGATTCTCTCTAATCTTATCTTCCACTAAAGCTACTCCAACATTTCATGTATAAGCTCATTTTGCATTCTGTCTCTACATTTAAAAACACTCATCCACCTGAGCATCCTCATCTCTATAACAATTAACTTAATTTTATGCTTCTCTTTTAATGGCCAATTTTCTGCACCATAAAGCATTGCATGCCTCACCACTATCTTATAAAATTTCCCCTTAAGTTTAAGGGGTACTTTTCTATCACACAACAGGCCGATGCAACAATGATCAAGGTGCCTTAACCAATCCAATAGCTCAAAGTTCAGTCCGGTTAAAATAATGACTGCATATAACTTTTCAAACCTTCAAAATATAGGGTCACAAACGAATATGGATATCATGATTAACAAGCATTTTGCATTGAATGAAAGGAAAGGAGAAAAAAAAAACAGAAAATATTATGTACCCATTATAATCCCATGGGCTCCTCTATAATATGCGTTTGTCAAAGTCCTGAATCTCTCCTGCCCAGCTGCATGGCAAATGTAATTCATAGTCAGTTGTGCATTTGTGTATGTTCATTCTAATAATGATAGTGAAATTTTGTTTTATACAAGACACCCTCATACCCATATACACTGCTGCTGCAATTTCACAAAATGTCATAAATAAGAAGAAAAAGATCAGGCTTAGCTGATAAAAGAGCTATACAGAGACTAGCATATATGGAATGATAATCGCTAGAAGATAATTTAACATACGCAAAGATAAAATCACTAGCAAGGACAGATTACCTATACAACAAAACAGGTATTTGCTTATATGTACATTAATGGCAATAATTTCAATAAATATGAAAAATATACAAATAACAAAAACTGGATAAACATCATAAACCGTTCAAAACTTTAATTTAACAAAAGCATTAACTGCTTATATATTTTCTTTAGCATTCATTGGTAACATAATAGATTTACAGGAAACACCCACAAATGCAAACCAGAAACCTAGGATAACTCTTCTAAGAAATTGTGGATCTTTCAGTTTAAAAAAAATAAAGGACATTTTATGATCATTGCTATTGCACATCTTTCAAAAGTATGTAATCATTATACATATTCCCAACTCTTAGGTGTTTTTTTCTCTTGGTTTCTCTTGATAACACCATTAAGTCCATTTATATAACTAATTTAAAATAACATTAATCAAAAGCTACAGAATGGAAATTTTATGTTATATGCACTATTATAATATCCAAGATTCTCTTCTAATTTAAAATAGCATTAATCAAAAGTTACAGAGTGGAAATTTTATGTTATATGCACTATGTTCTCTTTTTCTATAGCTTGGGCTGTTGTGACCATTCATATAAACATCTTTCAGCTGGCACTAAGTAAAAGCTACCCAGTAAAATTTTTTTGTGATATTCTCATATCAAGGACTTAAATAATGTAGACTCCTTAAGCACGCCTTGAATGTAAATCCTCAATAATAAAAGCAAAAGGTGGAGGAAATAAAGTAGAGTAACAAAAGCATTCACATGGAGAAATACTTAGCGAAAATATTGAAAGAAATAATAAAAATAACAATCTAGTGGAGGATAAACCAAAAGTACCGTATGAATATGCAATTACATCACTTTAAGTTGCATTTTAGTTTGCCACCCTAGGAATGCCAATTATTGTACCTGTATCCCATAGTGCAAGCTTTAACTTTTTGCCACCAATTGTAACCATCTTCACCTTAAAATCAACGCCTGCTTGAAGCAAATACAATCATGAATGAAAATGAATCTTGGAGTATGAGAAGCGAGCACTTCCTGAAGTTGCTCTTAAAAGAATTGACATAATTTTAGAGATCAGGAGATCTAGGTGATTTAATTACTGATTATCATCCTATAGGGCACTGAGAAAACTATAAGATGGTAAATATTTCACTTTGATTGAACCCGACTATCCAAACTCCCTGCATAATTCATACATATCAAGATGAGGCCTACAATCCTTGCGAACAATATTGTTGACAACACCACCTTAAAACTACTAACCATAGATAGCCGCAAAAGAATGCGGCAAATTCCTTTTCTTTCTGTTTATATTAAATCAAACAAAAAAACAAGCTCCATCGCCTGATTAGATCCACCACATGATCGCAAATATGTATCCTAGTATGATTAACGGTAAAAATTTGAGTGCACCTATTGTTGGAGAGAGATCATCGAAGGTGTTGGAGGTGAAGCTCAGAAGAAGGCTGCTCTTCCCCACTCCCGAATCCCCAATCAGTAACAACTTGAACAAGTAATCAAAATCTCCCTGGTTCGCAGACGCCATGGCCTCCCACTTATACTATCAATCTTAAATAAAAACAATTTGTCAAGCGAAACCGATGTGGTGAATCATTTCCGAAAGAAGGAAAAAATGCCAAATTCCAAATATAAAGAAACCAGATAGAAGAATCGGGTGCATTACATACCAACGAACCCAGGGGGATCAGGAACACCGCGCTTAAGAAATTCGAACAGCGCTGGAAATGTGATTTAGAACAAGAGATCAGGTTTCGGGAGATCTATGTCCGAGAGGCCGTTTGGTAGCAGAATTTAACCTAAATTCTATCAAAAAGCACATAAGACAGCTGTAAATTCTGCGGAATCTCAAATACCGTGTCTCACTCTTTTGACCTTCAATTCCAAATTTAGAGGCAATTTCGTTTGATCCGTCATTATCACGATCAGTAAATTAAATAGACAAATTGGTCGGTTTTCAAATGCTCTGTAAATTTAAAATATATTTTGAAATAAGTTGATTTGATAGTTGTTCCATCGCAACCATCTACTGCCATCATCACTATTGGTTGCCACCATCGCTGTAATCATAATTATTGTTGCGGGCTAGAATATACGCGACGATAGAGTTGTAATTTTATGTCTTAGCATTGCACGGAAATCCAGCTCACACATAGAGACACAAAAGATTTTTTACGTGGAAAATCCGGAAAATAGAAAAACCACGGGGCCTAGCTAAGTTGAAAATGTTTCACTATAATTTGAGTTGAGTACAGTGGGCTGACTCGTCCTTGAGGGCGATCAAATTATAAATGTCAACCGTATAGTTGAAGTCTAGTGTTAAATCTGGCATCACTTGGAAGTTGGGGAGTTAATTAGTAGTCTGACTGTGACTTGGTGGAATTATGGCGTCAGTTGATGGTCTGGAGGAGTTTAGGCCTCAAGTGTTGGTCTAGCGGAGTTCAGGCCCTTAGGTGGTGTTCCAGCGAATGCGAGGGCCTCAGGTGATGGTACAACGAAGGCGAGGGACCCGGGTGGTGGTCCGGCGAAGGCGAGGGCCTCAAGTGACAGTTCAGCGAAGGCGAGGGCCTCAGGTGGTGGCCTTCGACAGCCTTAGGTGGTGGTCCGGCGAAACTCTGACGATGGTCGAGGATGAGCTTCTTCCTTCTCTTTTCTTCTTCTCTTCTTGCTCAGGGGTCCCTTTAAAGAGAAATGAGGGGTTTATTTATAGATTTATGGAGTGACATGGCCCGTAAATAGGCAAGAGATCAAGGGTAAATGGGGAGTAGTTGTATGGACGACCGATGTTGAATCCCTTGATCATAGACTGTTTGATGGACATTTGAACGTCTTAATGATGTCGGAATTTGGTGATCTTGGGCTCGTTGGATTTGTCTCGTCGAGCCTATTTATTCAACTATAAGCACATTATGTTTGGAAACCATTTGGTAATCCAAATTGTGGTTCGAACCTTCCAATAGTGTTTCAGGACCTTGATTTGGACTCATTTGGGCTCAGATTGAGTCGAATTTAGTGTCGTTGGGTTTGTATTTCTGATACGTTCAGTTTGACTATAAGTTTGCTGAAATTGGGAGTTCGGATAGTCCAATTTAAATTTTGGAAGTTTCCAATTTGATTTTGCATCGAGATTCGCGCCCGATCAAGATAGTTTTTTGCTGACATATCAATTATTATTATTGCATATTAGAACATTTATGACCGTAGAGAGATAAAAAGCTTAGAATATTAGCATTGAATGAAGATTTAACACACTTTCAAATAAGGAGAGAGGGGGGCAAGAGTCATAAAAGTCACCAAAATTTTTATGTAAAAATCCTGAAAATGGGAAAAACCATGGGGCTTGGCTCAATAAAAATGATTTCACTAGTGTTTATCATTTATTACAAATGAAGCCATTCACTGAGGAAAATGTCTTGGCTCAATTTAACAAATATAATGAAGCCATTCATTATATAGAGCACATTATATGGTGAGAGCTATAAGAATGTTATGACATAAGGGTAGTTTATAAGAGAGTGTTGGCATATTCGTTTACTCAGTAAGATCATAGTTGAATAATGATGGTGGTAGGGACCTTAGTTGACAGGCAATGAAGGTTGAAGGAATTATAGTTGACAGGTGACAAAGGTCGGAGGGACTGTAGTCGGCGAGCGATAGAGGTCGAAGGGGCCGTATTCAGCAAGCATCAGAGGTCTGAGAGATCTTAGTCTACTGGCGACAGTGGTCATAACGACTGTAGTTAGCGAGCAACAGTGGTCAGAGGGACCGTAAGCAATGGGTGACAGAAGTCCAATGATGGTGGATGAAAGTCTAGCAGCAATTGGCTTGGGCTTCTTGGATCGCCCAAATGGCCAAAGTCAAATGGATTTCTTTTGGTGAAGATGACCTTGATTTCCTCTATGTCAAAATCCTTGTTAGAAGGGATAAAAAACACTCTCACATAAATCACCACCCTCCTTGGACACTTTACTTCACCTCCTGACATTGAAGTTGCTATCATAAATCACTTTGAATCTCTGTTTAATCCTTCTCAACCCGTGAATGCCAATGACTAGAATATCCCTATGGGTGGCTCGGTTCATGCTCACTTAGTTGACTCTTTTGTGGCTCCTTTCTCTTATGTTGAAATTAAAGGTGTTATTTTTTATAGGTAAAATGATTTTGCTCCTGGCATCGATGAATTTAATTTTGCTTTTTATAAATACTATTGGAATATCATTGGGTTACAAGTTTGCAATGCAGTGAATAACTTCTACACCACTGGTTATAAACCAAAAGTGGTCAAAGCTACTGCTATAACTTAGTCCCTAAATCATCCCATGCGATTAATATTTTGGATTATAGGCTTATTTGGAATGTGCTTAATAAGATTAAGGCAAAGCTTTTGGCAAATAGTCTTAAGCCTATATTACCTCACATTATTTATGAAAGTCAAGCGGGTTTCATTCAAAATAGATGCTCAACTGATAACATTTTACTAGCTTCTGAGCTGCTGAGGGAATTTAATACTTATAATAATTTGTTTTGTGCCAAATTGGATATCTTTAAAGCTTTTGATTCGGTCTCCAATGATTTCCTTCATAATAGAATGAGGTAAAAAGGATTTCTTGAGAAGTTCTTGAGATGGATTAAAGGTTGTATTACGGATGTGTATTTTTTAATATGTATTAATGGATCTTTGGAAGGGTTTTTTAAAGCCTCCTTTGAGCTTCGATAAGGTTGTCCTCTCTCCCCCTGCTTTTTTGTATTATCATGGATGATTTATCTTGCTGTTTGTGATACATGAACCTTGCTCCTCCTTTCTTTGGCCTTGTTTCTAATGGGATCTCACTTAATCATCTGCTTTATATAGATGATCTTTTAGTTTTTGGTGCTGCCCTCCCTGAAAATGCTGAAAGTTTGAAATCCTCCCTCAACTTGTTTGTTGTTGCTTCTGGTCTTAAGATAAACCCCATTAAAAGCTCTCTTATCTTCTCCAAAATTGCCCCAGCTGCCACTAACATTTGTGATATTCTTGGCATTTCTAGAGTTGATTCCTCTCTCACTTACTTGGGGCTCCCCATTTCTAATAAAATGCTTCATTTATCTCACTTCCAACCACTCCTGAGTAAGATTTCTAATATACTTTATTATTGAAAGGTAAAATTTCTTTGTTTTGCAGGTAGAGTTCAGTTCTTGAAATTCATTATAACAAATACTATTGCTTACTGGATCAGGGGATCTATCATACCGAAAGCTTGCTGTAAACTCATTTCTAAACTTTGTTCTAGATTAATGAGAAAAAGTTGCATTTAATTTCTTGGAAGGTCACTGTCTTACCTAAAATCCATGGGGTTTAGGTATCCCTTCTTTGGATACCCTTTATCATGTTGTAACATGTTCATTTATTTGGAGGTTATACAATCAGTCTTACATTTTAAGCACTTGATTTAAATCCAAATACATCTCCCCCTGGAAGCAACATGCAGTTAATACCTCCAAATGTTGGAAATTTGTTTGCTTCACCGCTCAGAATATGAGGAATGCCATCTCTTTGGCTGTTACCCCTTACAGTAATTTATATATGGTATGGGACCCGTGGTGTGATGGCAGTTCATTAATTGAACTTTGCAACTCTTTGATACTCCCCATCACTCATGTTTTTTGTTACATTGCAGATAGTCATTGGGCGCCCCTCGCTTCCTTCTCTAAGCATGTTTGTTCTGCGATTCTTTATGTCCCCATCTATAAGTAATTTGTCATGTCGTGGGAAGGTTCATTCAAACCAAAATTAAAATCCTTGATCTCTTTTTCTTTTTTTTCTTAATTGGGAGGGCGTGCCTTGGTTTAAATACATCTGGTATAAGCAACATACTCTTGCTACACTTGGATGACCATTTTAGAGAAGTTAAAATGTGCGGATTTACTTATTAAAAGATTTATTTCGATTCATCCTGCTTGCCCTTTTTGTCAAAATGCCTAAAAAATTCATAAGCATATTTTCTTTAAATGATATTACTCCTTTTTGGTGATAACCTCTGTCATGCCACTCCTGGATTGCTTCCTCTTAAGGCCGAATCTCATTCAAACATTCGATTACTTAGAAAGTCTTCAACAATTTAACAATAGAGAAAAATATTTCTGTTTCATTTTCGTTTGCTACATCATCTATTTCCTGTCGAGGGAAAGAAATAATCATCTAGATGGGTGCACTTGGGTGTCTTCCTCTTCTCTTAAGTTTGCTATCAAGAATGATTTATGTCACAAAGTTAAAGGGTGGAAAATTTTTGAGCTACTTAAAGATCGTTTTGCTATTCTCAACTAAGCATCTTTGGTTTTCACCCCCCATAAAAATATATATTTTTCCCTCATACATCTATTGGTTCCCCCTCCACGTAACTAGCATTTCTTTTTTCTTTCTTTTTCATAATCTGCCCAACTTCTTCTCCACTCCAAATTCATCTCTTTTTTACGTCTCTCTCTCTCTCTCTCTTGCCCAACTTCATAGATAAAAGCATGCTATTTATTAAAATTAGTTTAAAGAGCCTATTTAAAAAAAAAAATTTAAAAAGGAGCAAATGAGCCAAATCATTTGGCGCATTGTGAAAAGTTGGAGAGAGAAAAAAGGAGAGAGAAAAGTTGGAGAGAGAGGGCACGTATAGAAAGAAGGCCAAATTTTCGAAAGAAGCGTGTTTGTTCTGGAATTTAGCAGAAGGAGCGTAACGAGGAGAAAATTTGAGAAGCAGCTAATACGCGCTCATGCTTAACGCATTCAAAGAATGCGCTTAATGAAACGGCGCATTCTATGAATGCGCTGTACCAAATAGCGCAATATGTCCAATGCGCGGTACTTAGTGGCGTATTCCTCCCGATCCAGACTTGAATGCGCGGTACCATATGGCGCATTCTTCGGAATGCGCGGTACTATATGGCGCATTCCAAAGAATGCGCGGTAGTATATGGCGCATTCTTTGGATTGTGCGGTTTCATCTTGCTGTAATGGAGCGGAAAACGAGGGGATTTTGTATTTTAGCGGGGACAAGATCCGGTTAATCCGCGAAAGTGGTTGAGGATATGGTGAAATTGATGCCGGTCGCTGAATATGAGTGGTTGGGAGCTGATAATTGATGACGGGAGTGCTGCGTTCCGGCTATAAAAGAGCTTGCTGCCTTCTCGTTTACAGCACTCAGCAACCAGCGAAGTTTCTCTCAAAATTTCGGTGTTAAAGCTCAGAAGGTATGGTTTTTTATTTGCTGCTTAATTTCTTTAGATTTTATGTTAGTGTTGTAATAATATAGTTAGATTTCTCGCGTAGGGCTCTTGAGTACTCGGTATTGATCTTGACAGAGCGGTATTCCTCGTTGTTATGAAATAATACCTAGCAATACCCAGCAAATGTTGAATTTTTTGACTGTATTTTGCTCTGACCGGACGTTGCCCTACGTCTTACACCGGACCTAATAAAAGCTCGCATTCGAGGTCCTTTACTGTTCGATTCATTCGGCAAGCCTAGCATTTTTTCTAACAAATTTCCTTGTTCGGTCGTCCCATCCGGAACCGCACGCCGCCCGTAACAGTGGCTGCCTTCAATTCCTCGCTGTTCTTCAACCATCCCGATTCTTTTTCTTTTCCGGTTCCAATTGGCCTCACCTATGCTAAGATACGTTTTGAAAGGTCCCAAGTTCTTTTCGTTAGGCAGAAGAGAAACAGGGATAGAGTTCGATCGTTATCCGGCATGTTGGAGGAAAGTGCTTATGCTGCCGTGACGCAGGGCAGTGGTCTTCGGCGACTCGCTCACGTTCTGACCGTCGCTGGTTCCGATTCCGGCGGCGGAGCTGGCATCCAGGCTGATATCAAGGCCTGTGCCGCCGCCTGTGTATACTGCTCCTCCGTCATCACTTCTGTCACGGCGCAGAATACCATCGGAGTTCAGGTGCTTCTCTGTCGGAGTAAAAAACTTATTTCGTTTCGTCATAATTTCTAGTTATTGCTGGGCGATTGCTCGTTTATCTATTGTAGAACATCCAAAAAAGAGTAGGAAAGGGTTGAGTAGAGAGAATAAAAGAAAACATGGCATTTACTTATCACTGAATTTTTAATTATTTATATATCTAACATCTAAATTCTATAATTTAATAATATTTAAATTGCATAAAAATATCACTAATATTAATTTATTTAAACCAAAAAATATTTTCATACTTATGTTTAAATATAATTTGGGTATTAGTGAAAAAAAAAGATATTAGATATATAAAACACAAGAATTCTCTGCTATCCATATGAAATAGAAGAATTCTCTGGTGTATATACAAATCCCCCCAGTAATAAAAAAAAGACAAAAAAAATTATAATTTTTTTTATTTTTAGTTTTTATGAAAAATGCTTGTATGACCTGCCTTAGCTTTGATACGTCATAAAAAATTGATTTGATTGGACACGAATCTTGATGCATATTTGAGTTGGAAACTTCTTGAATTAAATTTAAAGCCATCCTAACTTTGATTAAAAAAAAAAACTTTGATTTCAATAAGCGTATAGTCGAATCAAACATCTCAATGAGATGAACTCTAACATCAGAAGTGATCTGATTTGAGTCCAGATGAGCCCATATCAAGCATTTAAATTGTAATACAAAATTTTGGGACATTAATTTGAGGACCAAATGATCTCCAGACATCGCATACTCATAGCGAAATTTCGTGTCTTGACAAGACAAATTCAATGAGCCTAAGCTATCTAATTCATACATCATTATAATGCTTAAATGCTGAAAGAACGGTCTATGATCAAGGGTGACTAATACGGGTTGTTTGATGGAGTGTTTTAAAATTTGTCTATATTTATGGGAAATGCTACTCTAAAAAATGTATAAATAGACCTATACTCTCTATATGAAAGAAGCCTTAAACTCTTAGCTTGAGATTCGACACCATCACTGTCGGAGTACCACATGGCCGTCATTATCAGAATGCCACTTGACTATTATTTTTCAACCACTGTCGTTCGACTGCAGTCCTCCGATCATGATTGCCCGTCTAAGGTCCTCAAACCACCAACGTCCGATTATCAACCTTTATCCACAATTCGCAGACAATAGTCCCCCACCAACATCACTTGACTATTGTCCTTCGACCAACATCGCCGGACTACCATCATTTGACCACTATCACCGGTATTGCCTTCTAACCACCGTCATTGGACTATTATCCTCCAATCACTATCGCCCGACAATTGTCCTATGACCGTCATTGCCCGACTACTATCCTTTGATCATTGTCACCCAACTATGATATTATGGCTACTATCTATCACCCAACTAAGATCCTCTAACAATCGTCGGCCCTACTATAATCTTTTAACCATCATCACTCGACAACAGTGCTCCGATCATTATCACCTTCTAGGATTCAACAAACTCTTCACATGGATTTGCATTGCTTCTGTGTAGAAGCAAAAGCAAATCTTTTCATAATATTACAAAGAATGAAGAGGAGAACATAAATAATGAAGACAGAGAAAATAAGGTTTTGTATATACACTTACTCTTAGCTTGAGATCTAGTAAGTGCTAAATAGCTTAGCTTAGAAGATGCATTTCTAGCTGGGAAATAGATGCAAAATATTTCCCAGTCTCTAGATGCCGCTAGAGCCCAAAACAAATCAAAGAGATTTCAAATTTCAGCCAAATTCAAGATGCCCTAACCCTAGGAAAACAAATTATTTAATGCATACAAATCAAAAGGAAACCCCTAAACAATCCCTACATTCATTTTGCCTCAAAAAATTCGTTCAAAAACCTTCCTAAATGAGCTCCCGTGGACTTGTCGTGCGTGCGGCTAATGCAAGAGGCGGAGATGTTCCGCCTCATTCGTGCCTAGGCGGGATCGGCTGGACCGGTCTAACAATACTCCCCTCCCAAACATCCACATTATCCTCAAGGTGGAGATATGCTCATGTTCCCGTGGAGGTGGCCATCCTTGATGGTTGAAAATCCTTACCAAATTGCTGACTCAAGGGCTGCACTGAAAGAGAAACATCCCCTCCCTCCTCCATCCTGATCACATCCAGCTTGTGTATTCCCACCAGATAATCTTCCCCCATCTCTTTTAGGCCCCTAATCATAGTCTTAAGTGAAATCATGGCTTTGGATAGCCCTGCATCTCCCCTTATAATCACCTTTCTCCCATCCACCATTAGTTTCATCGTGAGTGCTCCCAATTGTCCTTGGTTTTCCCCAAGATTTGCAACCACTTCATCCTCAGGATGACATCAATACTTTCAGCTCTAGTAGGAGAAAGTCCTTCCTTAACTAAATCCTCTGGATGCTCAACACCGCTCCTCTACAGATCCTTTGGCCTTTCTCCACCTTTCCTGTACCCATCATCATCCCATAACAACCGGTGTCCACCAATTTCACTTCCAATTGGTCGACAACCTGAGTGGAAATAAAATTGTGGGTAGCCCCACTATCAATTAGCACCACCACCTCCATGTCCTCTATCTCCCCCTTCACCTTCATGGTATGATTTGTAGTGAATCCTACCACTGAGTTCAGGAAAATCTTGGTTCGATCCAAATGCAACTTCTCCATATCTTTCTCTAACTCCCCCTCACCTCCCTCATCAGTTTCCTCGTCATCACAGACGGTAAGAATCTGAAGAGTTCAGTCCTTGTACCGATGTCATGACGTATAATTCTCCTCGCACCTGAAACATAACCCTTTTGCCCTCTTCTCATGCATCTCATTCTCTGTCAGCCTCTTGAAATTTTTCCCACTCCCTCCTCCCACTGGCTTCTCCCTGGTGGTCTCATTAATGTTGCTTGATGCAAGCCTCTTGGGTGTTAAAAGAGTGGTTGTCATCTCGTAAGAGCCTCCTGAGCTGCTGCTTATGGTTCCCTTCTCTAGATTCTTCTAATTTTTCACCAACTGTGCCAACTTTATGGCCTACCCCAAGTTACTAGGCATCAGAATTTTCACTGTCGCTCGGATCTCTGCCTTCAACCCCTTCATGAAGTTCCCCTCCAATACAGTATCTGATAATCGCTCCACCCTACTAGCCAGGTGCTTAAACCGCTTCCGGTAGTCTGCTACTGATCCCTCCTACACCAGAGCAAAGAACTGCTCATATAAATCTCCTCCCCGATTCGTTTGGAAACGTTCTATTATGCAATCCTTGAATTCCCTCCAGCTCATAATAGGTCTCCTCTGGTCTCTCCATTAATATCATGATAGCGCCTTTCCTTCCAAGCACAAGCTTGCCGGTGTCCGCTTCTCCTCCTCCATTAGCCCATTGACGGCAAAGCACATCTCCACCATATAAATCCACCTGTACGCATCCTCCCATTCAAATATGGGCATCTTAAGCTTCCTCACCTTTTGATCTCCACCATTCCATCTTATTCTTCCATAGCCTCCTCTCTCCCAAGTGCTCGGCCCAACCCACATCTCCTGGTCTTCCCTTGCCTTGCCATAGCCCAAACCCCCTTCGAATTCCCCTCTTCTTCCTTCAAAATCAACACCTCGGCGACCACAATTTCCCTCCCGACGTTCCCAATCACCACCCCTTTGCTCCGCCCCTCCATACCCATCCCTTTCCCGATACCTACATCCTCTATCCTCCCTCTCGAAAGGCTCCAGATAAGGTTTCCTTCTTTCTCCCTCCACAATTTCCACCTCATCTTCCTCCCTACGAATTTCAGAATTCGTGTTTTTCCCTTCCACCCCTTCTGCCACTGAAGCCGCCTTTTGGTTGTGGATTTCCAACATTTTTTTCATCATGTCCCGGAGATCGGCTACTTATTCTTCCATGGAGGAAATCTTTTCCTCCACCATCGTCTTGATTTGATTCATCTCTCCTTCAAGTCTTTCTTCAAGCGCATCTATTTTCTTGGCCGCCATCTCGTCCGGATTTTTGTAGATCCAAAAATTCTTGATTTGGATTACAAAAACAACAACTTTCTTCTTTCCCGGTCAAAAATCAGCCGTCGGAATTCACCCAAATCAGCCCCAGAACGGTCCCAAGACTTGCTCTGATACCAATTTGATAGAAAACACTTGTAGATCTCAAGTATTTCCTGTCAATCTTAGGAAAACAACGATAATTCTCCGCAAAAATCCACACAAAACTAGGAAAACAGTAGAAATTTATATTATTTGATGAAATAGAAAAGGAAAATAGCAAGATGCAATTGATCCTCTATTCGAGAGGAGGATCATTCTCTCCCAATCTTTAGACGCCGCTAGAGCCCAAAAGAAATCAAAGAGATCTCAAATTTCAGCCAAATTCCCCTAACCATAGGAAAACAAAGTATTTAATGCATACAAATCAAAAGGAAATCCCTAAACAATCCCTACATTTAATTTCCCTCCTAAAATTCGTTCAAAAACCTTCCTAAATGTGCTCCCGTGGACTTACGGTGCGTGCGGCTAACGCAAGAGGTGGAGATGTTCCGCCTTGTTCGTGCCTAGGCCGGTCCCGCGTGGACCGGTCTAACACTATGCCCAGCTTGTGAACGTGGATAAGCCCCCTCGGGTGGCCTATTTAGATCATGCAAGCAAAAACATTAATCATTTAATAAGAAAAAAAAAGACATTATCAAAGGTTATGTGGGACTAAACTTATTATATGAATTAAGAGAGCACATGTTTATCAATACATATGGAACTACTTGCAATAATTTATCCTAATTATATATATATATATATATATATATATCTATATATATATATATATGTTGTATCTTCATACAAAATTAGTATCCTAAACTCTATATTATTCTACCATTATGATTGTTCCTACACGCAACAGGCTTATCAATAAAATGAAATAAAAAAATTGCCATAAAAAATGTCAAAAACATAGAAACGTCAGCCTATCATCTTTTAATTACAATATATTATGAAGGGAAAAATTTTAGACTAAAATATCATTATTTAAATTTACTTTTTAACTTGTAGATTTGTTTTAATACAAATATAATATACATTTTAATTGATTAATTATTATAATACTCATTCAAGTATCCGTATCGGTGCAACATAGATATATATGAAAGGAATAAACTTATATTCTGTTATAAAAGTAAGAATAGTTAAAATTTTATTAAGAAAATAATTATGCTTTTTTTTTCTCTGCTACTTTTGCAAGAGAACAAAAAATTCTCTTACAATTGAAATTATTTATTGTCTATATTTTTTATTTAAAATCTAAACCCCAATCAATAAATTTGTTCACTTTCTTTATAAATTTTTTTTCTCTCTTTAAATTTCAAGTCCCAATGTGTAATTGCCTTTCACTTAAAAGAAATTATCATCTATTATATTTTTCGCCATTATCCCAAGAGAATTGATGTTGAATGTTTTGCATATGACAATCAATATTTTTATTTGTTTAGGGAGTGTACTCTCTTGCAGAAAACTTCGTTGCAGAGCAGTTGAGATCGGTGCTTTCTGATATGCAAGTTGATGTGGTAAGTTTCATAGTAAGGTTTGCAGTAGAATTTTGTGTTTTGTTGTAATCAGATAACGAGAATGCTTTTTTTCTTCAGGTTAGATTATAGGTGGTAATTGTGGTTGATGAGTTATCCTATTCTTTAATTTGTGAATTGTGAATTGTGTATTGTAGCAGTAGATACTATTTTGTTCATGTGTGTGCAAATAGAAAAAAAGAGCTTCCTATAAGCTGCTTTTTAAGGGACTGTTTTCGTTCTCATGATTGGAAATTAATTTTTTTTCCTATTGCATGTGTTTAAATTTTCGACAATAGAAAGGGTTTTGAAAGTGACTATTTATTTATGAAAATAACAAAAATGTTATTTTTATTTAAATTCACTCCATGCCTCCATCGACATTCTCTTTTAATACCTTTGTTTGAGAATTTTATTTGTACCTTCCCTGACACATAACTCATTACAAATTGTTTACGTCTGATGCACGCTACTCTTTTTTTCATGTGCTAATGAAGTTCTTATTACACTTGTAACCTCTAGGCAACCAAACATTCAACTATTGCTTTTGAACTTAAGTTGTCATCTTCTATGTGACTTTGAGTTTTCGGGGACCGTATCATAATTATTACAAGTGTTAACTTTTATGTTAGTAATCCATACTGTTTATTATAATTTTGTTTCTTCATTATTAAGGATTATTTTTTATTGATCTTGTTCTCTTACTTGTACTAAGAAGTCAATTAAATAAAGATGTCGTCATCTCTTTTTTAAAATAAATTTGGAAGGATAATTCTCTGATAGTTCAGATGTTCAGATATACAGCATGATAGTGTAGGTGGTATTGCTACCATGTTGTGTGTAGAGGAAACATTGACATTCTATTGAGAACAATGTTATTGTAAGAGGATACACGTATATAAGCTTTAGGAACGAGCACGCTTCATTAAGAAATTTAAGAAAAATTTTACTTCTCGATACTAGCTGCTATAATAGAGTACTTGTAAAAAATTGATTCTTAAAGGCAAGTTCAAACACTAACTAAATATTTGGGGCTGAGCTTTGAGAATCGTAAGTGCTAATATCAGTAGTATCATACCAAAAATGGCAAGCCATGCCCAGGTCATGTATTACTGAAGTGTGAAATATTGTTTAAAATGCAGCTCATTTTTGTTTGTTGGTTGAGAGCTTTGGCTACCAAGTACCAACCAAGAGGTCTTGGGTTCGAAGCTTGCGTGCGTGATATTTGTATGAGTTTGCCTTTAACTGATTCAAAAGTCCCCCCAAAAAAAAAAAGTTTAACGGATATCATGACAATTTCAACCTTGAAATCTAGATCAGTTATATTTAAGGCCACTTATTGTCCAAGTGGTATCAATGACCTTATTTACTTAATAAATTAGTTTGTTTAACACTTATTGAATGCAGACATGCCTGCTCATCAGAATAAAAAAATAGCTGTACGATTTTGAACGCCATACAAGCCTCTCATCACGATAAAGAATGGCTGTTTTTGTTGGCTTTCTACACTTTCTTAACTTTACTTTTGTCGTTCTGTGTGTTTTCTGAAGGAAAATCTTTTGTTCTCTATTTTATCAATGAATCATTGCTTGGTGAATTCTCAGATAAAGACAGGCATGCTTCCTTCTCCAGGTATGATCACGGTCTTATGCCAGAGTATAAAAGAGTTTCCTGTCCGAGGTTTGTGATTACTTCTCATTTTTATCACCATAGTTTACATGTACTTTCAACCTTGTGGCTCTTCATGCATTTTTATTCCCTTGAAGGCAGCCGTTGTTGTTGATCCAGTGATGGTTTCTACCAGTGGCGATGTGCTTTCCGGTCCATCCACGCTCAGTGGCTTTTGGTAAGCAATACATGAATTTGTAATTTGCATGAAGTTAGGAACTTCTTTTGTTTAGTAATGCTATTTTATGGAGATCTAATTGAATTTTAATTTGCGAACTTTATATCACAGCAAGGAGCTTCTTCCATTGGCTGATATAGTTACCCCAAATCTGAAAGAAGCTTCAGCCCTACTTGGAGGAATATCCTTGGATACTGTAGATGACATGCGTTTTGCTGCTAAATCTATACATGATTTTGGAGCTAGGTATGTTACAAAATGACATATTGAAGAGTAAGAATTGCTGTTTGCTAACTGTTTTTCTCGTTGTTTTTAGCATCTACCAAAGCGTTATTTTACCAGCTACTTACCTTGATATGCTGTACCAGTTAAACTGATCTTGAATAATTGCTTAGTTTTTTGCTGTATGTAAATAGCATCTGTAGATAGCCTTAGATAATTGGCTTATGTAATACAGGAATGTACTTGTGAAAGGTGGGGATCTCCCTGGTTCATCGGCCGCCATTGACATATTTTTTGATGGTATGACTAGTGACATGGTTTTTGTTTATGCATCTTTTCTGTTTTCCTTCAGATTCAGTGTTCTAGGTCGATGGTATCTATTGTATTGAGAAAAATGTTCTTCAGGGGAACAATTTCATGAGCTTTGTGGACCACGCATAATGACACGTAACACTCATGGAACTGGTTGCACTTTGGCATCATATATAGCAGCAGAACTTGCTAAAGGTACTCCAATGCTGCAATCTGTTCAGGTTTTACTCTTTACCCTTTTTGTCTTTTTAGATGTTTTACATCATAAGTTTTATATAAAACCTATGCAATCTATTGGTTTAATTATGATTGTAGGGATTATTAGGTCAGCTTATAGTTAGCACTTTTGAATTGCATGGTTTCTTTCAACTTCTAATGGTTTTAGCAATCCTGTAATGGGAACTTTCTCTAAACTAAGTTAAAGAAATAGGAAAGGAACATGCACAGGACTTTGTGCTCATTGAAAACATTTGGGCATGTTCTCCATTATTATATGTGCAATAGTAGTTAAAGTAAATAAATATAAGAGCCTTATGAATGCTGTTTATAGAAAAATTATTCCAAAGCCCTTTAAAAAAATGATCACAAATTATTATTAATGGTATTAGCCATATTCATTGTAGCTTATCAGCCTTATCTCCTAATGAATTCAACCATTTATGTTCTCCAAAAAATATCCCTTGAGTAGATAAAATTGAAGTGGCCTATGACGGTAGTAATCAAGTTAAAAAGCTTATAATTATTTATAATATTGTTACAAAAAATAAAGTATTATATGAATAATTATGAGGTCTTGTGGATATTTTTAGCTATTGCAATAAATATTCAAAGATTTTAAACTTAAATTTTTTATCATAAATATGCATGGTGGAGAGGAACTTACCCCTAATATTTTATAATTTTAATAGAAGTAAGAATTCTTTTTCAATATTTTTGTCTCAGGGTATTTTTATAATTTTGTATAACCCGAGCCTGAGGAGAATTTGGTTAAAATAAATTTTGGAGTTCCTTCCTACCAACAAATGGGGATACTATTATAATTTACAAGAACATGTTGACCGGTTCATCCGATTCCGGCAGAGAAATTGACGGCGGTCGGTCTATGTTTCGAGGGAAAGGCGTTGACATGGTATCAATGGAGGGATATGGGGCGGCCCATTCGGAGCTGGAGGGAGTTCAAGGATTGCTTACTAAAATGTTTTCGAAGTAATAGAGAAAGAGACTTTTACGAGTAGTTCTTCACCCTGACACAGGAGAGTTCTGTAGCAGAGCACCGTGACAAATTTGAATACCTAGCTAGCTAGTTGGATCGACTTTCTAAGGCTGTTCTGGAGGGGAATTTCATGAAGGGGATCAAGCTCAAGAGTAGAGCGACTGTTAGAGCGATGAGGCCGCGTGACTTAGGTGAGGCCATGGAGTTGTCACAGTTGGTGGAGGACCAAAAGTATTTAGAGAGAGGGGCTAGAGGCAGCAGCTCAGGGGTGGTCGTACAAGATGACCACGACTTTCTTAGCTCCCAAGGGATTAGTACTAGGAAGCTTGCGTGAGCCCCAAAGGAGAATCCTAGAGTAGGATTTGGAGGGAACTTCAAAAAGCTCACAAAGGAGTTGCAGGAGAAGTGGGCAAAGGGATTATGCTTCAGATGTGATGAGAGGTACACGACAGGGCATAGATGTAAGGACCGAACTCTTCAGATTCTCACTGTCTATGATGATGAGGAAGTTGAGAAGGGAGGTGAGAGTGAGGTAGGGGTTGAGGAGGAGGAGAAGCTACATCTGGATATGACAGCAGTCTCCTTGAACTCAGTGGTAAGGTTCACCCAAAGTCACATTATGAAAGAGAAGGGAGAGATGACAGATACAAAGGTGGTGGTGTTGATCGTTAGTGGGGCTATCCATAATTTTATCTCCAATGAAGTCGTTGACCAGTTGGGGGTGAAATTGGTGAACACTAGGGGCTATGGCGTAATGATGGACACTGGGAAGGTTGAGATGGGTAGAAGAGTGTGCAAGGGATTAGTGCTGACTATTCAAGAGGTTCAGGTGAGGGTCTTTCATTAGAGTTGGGAGCACTGATGTCATCCTGAAGATAAAGTGGTTGCAGACCTTGGGAGATACCAAGGTCAATTGGGGAGCGCTAAGGATGGACCTGGTGGTGGAGGCAAGAAGGATGGTGATCCAGGGAGATGCAGGGTTGTCCAGAGCCGTGGTATCTCTCAAATCCATGATCAGGACCATAAAGGAGGTGGGAGGAGGATTTTTAATGGAACTGCAAAGCTTGAAAGTGGTCAGATTGGAGGAAGGGGGAGAGATTCCTCTTTCAGTGCAATCACTCATACAACAGTTTAAATTTTTTTTTTCAACCGCCTCAAAGCTTACCACCACTCAGAGAGTAGGAGCATGCAATCAATTTGAAGGAAGGGGTTTCTCCGATTAGTGTACGACCATATTATTATCCTTGGATTATGAAGGATGAGATTGAGAAGCTGACCTGAGAGATGTTAGAGGCGGGGATCATCAGGCCGAGCATGAACCCTTTTTCTAGCCCAATTTTGTTGGTCAAGAAGAATGATGGGAACTAGAGGTTTTGTGTGGACTATAGGGCCTTGATTAAGAAGACTCTCTCAGATAAGTTCCCCATTACGAAGATCGATGAACTACTGGATGAGTTGTATGGAGCAGTGGTATTTACCAAGATGGACTTGAAGTCCGGTTACCATCAAATCAGGATGAGGGAGGAGAATATTCAGAAGACGGCTTTTAGGACGCACGAGGGGCACTACGAGTTCTTGGTGATGCTGTTTGGTCTCACTAATGCTCTTGCTACCTTCCAATCCCTTAGGAACAAGGTATTCAGACCGTATCTCCGGAAGTTTGTATTAGTTTTCTTTGATGACATACTTGTGTATAGCAGAACCGAGGAGGAACATTTGGAGCATTTAAGAGTGATCTTAGGGGTTCTATAGGAGCATCAACTGAGGGCCAACTTGAAAAAGTGCTGCTTCGTACAAACTAGTGTAAAGTACTTGGGGCAAATGGTATCTCAAGCGGGGGTGGCTGCCGACCAAACCAAAGTTGAAGCAATACAGAAGTGGCCTCTACCTAAGAACTTGAGAGAATTGAGGGACTTCCTAGGTTTGACTGGTTATTACAGGAGGTTCGTGTGGGGGTACAACAACATAACTTGGCCCTTGATAGAACAACTGAAGGATATTTTCTTGTGGGGAGAGGCAGCTACCCAGGCTTTTGAAGGACTGAAGAAGGTCATGACCACAATACCCATTTTGGCTCTACCAAATTTAAGTCAGACCTTTGTGGTGGAGGCAGATGCATCGAGATATGGGTTTGGCAATATGTTGCTCATGCATAATCATAAACCCGTAGCCTAGTTCAGACAAGTGTTGACAGCAAGAGTTAAACTGAAGTTAGTATATGAGAGGGAATTGATGGTTATCGTGTTGGCCATTCAGAAGTGGTGTCCATACATGTTGGGTTGTCACTTAATTGTCAGGACATACCAAAGGAGCTTGAAATATTTGCTTGAGTAGAGGATGGTGACTGAGGAGCATCAGAGGTGGTTGTCCAAACTGTTGTGATATGATTTTAAAATCCAGTACAGACCAAGATTAGAGAATAAGGCAGGTGATGCCTTATCAAGGTGTGTGGAGGAGCTCCATGAGCTAACCATTTCAATACCAATGATGGTAGATTTGGGGGGGGGGGGGGGGGGGGGGGGGCTTTTGATAGTCAACCACTATGGAAGGTCTTTTGGGAAATGGAGCAGGGGGGGCTATCAAAGAAGATAGTGGGCAGGACGAGGAGCTAAGGAAGATTAGGAGGGATTTATTAAAGTATAGGAGCAACCACCTACTATATCAAGGGAGATTTGTGATGCCACAAACTTCTATTCATATTCCCCACTTGTTGCAGTGGTTCCATGGGAGCATAGTTGGAGGCCATTTGGGAGTGTAGAAGACATACAAAAGGTTGCCAGCTGAATTATACTAGAAAGAGATGCATAAAGATGTGGAGGAGATGGTAGGAAGTTTTGAGGTGTGCTAGAGAACTAAGTATATGGCTATGGCTCCATGGGGGTTACTTTAACCCTTAGCGCTTCCTGGAAGGGTATGGAGGAGGTGACCATGAATTTCGTAGATGGACTGGCACGATCTGAGGGGTTCGCAGTGATTATGTGGTGGTTAACAAACTGAGTAAATATGCACATTTCATTTCCTTACAACACCCCTATACCACGGTTACATTGAATGCTACAATTAAGATTAATTGAATAAGACTGACCAGGAGTTATAAGGACAGGAGCAAGATACCCAAGATCTAGATACCTTCATTTGAACATTTGATAGAATATTGATTACTGACTATTGATATCGATTACTGATCGATTACTCATTACTGTTACTTATATTATTGCTTACACTACATAGATGTTGTTTACTGTTATTGTTGTTGAGATTATTCACTATTACTGATATTGTGACTGAAACTAACACTGATTATTGTTACTGGTATGAATTACTGTTATTGATATCGTTATTGATGATATAATAGACTGAGATGTAATGTTTTATAAATTGAGTTGGTACAGATGACCGATATAGCTATTAATGCATAAATTTTTTTTTATATAATTTGTAATATATTATTTTTTATTATATTGATTTCAGTTGTAAGATTTTAGTTATTGATGAGCTTTTATGCTAATTACGTGATTTTACATGTTTTTAGGAAAGAGTAAGGACCCTACAATGTGAGACTCCGGACATCATGTGTAGTTTTATTTTTTTTGGCATATGTATTTTATTTTGTAGTCATGATGTATTTATAGTGATGTAGCTAATCTTTTATATCATCATAACTATTGTATATATAACATTTTTGGGTTTGTAACAATTGTACATATTGATGAATATAAATGTAATCATATTTCTTTTTGTTGTTCATAAGAAATTGGTAAGTTTTAGTTAAATGACTAAAATGAAAGATAATGCAATTTTTCCAATATAAATCTCGTGGCGTGACAATGTGATTGGAAGTAGGTGCGGGCTATGTGAGAGGATGCATTCTTATGCGAGTATAGGAGGTTGGGCATGATCGAGGGAGAAGGTTTGGGGAGGGGTGGTGAGCATATATAATGTCTATAGACTAGAGATATAATATAATAATCAATTCACTAAAACATAAATATGAGACTTTCTTATGATAACATTCTAAAGTTATCACCCTTTGAAATCAATCATTATTGGCTTGACAAGAAATCAACCGAAGGCAATTTTTTAGCCCCTATTAATTCAATATTGTTTTTAAGATTGACTTTCTTAGTTGGAATATAATTCGAATGTTCTTGAAATATTTATATGCATATAATAAATGTAATTTATTTTTTAGGTTACATATATAAACTGAGACTCTTTGAACTGATCCGTTGCTTGTGTTGGTCTGCGCACCCACATGGTGATACCAGATCTGTTTTTCTTGAGTTGATCGGGTAAAGATATTTTTAGAACCTTAAAATATTAATATAATGAAAGAAGAAAGGTGATGCATAGCCTTCTGTATCCATGTTTATCAGGATGCGTATAACCCACCTCAAATATGCTCGGAATTAAGTGTGACTGCTTCTTAATAAGTTTTATACCTTACAAAATAAATATCATACAGAAACTTGTTTTCTGTATTTTCTGAACTTCGGTATCTTTTGCATTCTCTGTCTCCTAAAGTGAAATCCTCAGCATTTTTTTTTCTCGAATATTTCATGCAGGCAGCTAAAAGCTTTGTGAAGAGTGCACTGCTTTACAGTAAGGATCTTATGATAGGAAATGGACCCCAAGGTCCCTTTGATCACCTCTTCATGCTGAAGAATCAACTAAATAACTATGCCCCCAAGTGGACTTTCAATGCAAATAGTTTGTTATTGTATGCTGTCACTGACTCTCGAATGAACAAAAAATGGGCTCGCTCCATTACAGAAGCTGTTAAAGCTTCCATTGAAGGAGGTGCCACCATCATTCAGCTAAGGTTCATTGCTTTCATTGCATTCATTTCCACCATCATTTTTAGTCTTTATTATAAGAGTTTTTAGGCAATTGCCCCCCCCTAAAAATTTTAAAATAATATGGTCTTTAGACAATTGCCCCAAGACAATTAAACACATTATGTAGAGATGTTATTGTTAGGAAACCAAAATTTTCCTTACCACCAAAAATTCAAAGAGAAATATCCTTACAAAGAGAAATAGTAAAAAAAATCAAAAAATATCCTTACAATCAAAAATTTATTTTGGCAGCGCCCCCGAAGCAAATTTTGGTTCTTAAGATATTTATATAAAAAAAAATCTCTACATTTTTACTTATAAATTTGCCCCCCTGAAAATTAACGCTGGTTCCGCCCCTGCTTGCCTTGCTAGGATGATAAGTTCAAATGTTATATATCCCCTGTTTTGGTACCCAAGCTCACTTATACTATCCTTTACAATGTTCAGAGAAAAAGAGGCAGAAACCAGCGAATTTGTCAAAAAAACCGTGGATTGCATGGCTATTTGCCGTTCTTACCATGTACCATTACTGATCAATGACCGGATTGATGTCGCACTTGCCTGTGATGCTGATGGCGTTCACATTGGCCAGTCTGATATGCCGGCAGAATTGGCTCGCAAAATTCTTGGTCCAGGCAAGATCATTGGAGTATCCTGTAAGACCCCAGCACAAGCAATGAAAGCTTGGGCTGACGGTGCTGATTACATTGGCTGTGGCGGAGTTTTTCCAACTAACACAAAGCAGAGCAATCCAACTATTGGCTTAAAGGGCCTTGAAACTGTTTGTTTAGCTTCAAAACTTCCTGTGGTTGCCATTGGTGGTATCGGTGCAGGAAATGTACAGTCGGTCATGGAACTCGGTGTGCCAAATCTGAAAGGTGTTGCAGTTGTTTCTGCCCTTTTTGATCAGGAATCTGTTGCCACTGAAACCCGTAGACTGAAATCATTGTTGACTGTAAGGTGATGGCTTAATTTCTCTTTGAGTTCTTGGTGAGAAAGGTGACTTGTAACCTGTGTTTTTTTTTTCCATATTTGAAGATTCTCAAACTGCAATGCATGGTCTTAGGAGAGATTATTCTGTGCGGACACCGAAAGAGAGAACTGTCCGGTTAACTTTGGTACTGAGCTCGGTACCGAGCAGTATCGAGTCTCGGTACTGAGCGCGGTACCGAGTGCGGTATATTTTGGAGGTGATGTGGCGTATTTTTATACGACATCCGGACTCCGCAGAGAATAATTTTTCTGGTCTTAGGGTTTCCTCATTCTCGGCAGATTGATGAATAGAGTATCTTGAATGATTAAGGACGGATCAACTGAAGCATGGTTCCTTTTTGGAAATAATATACTTCTTTTTGGTCTATATTTACAACTTGAAGGGTTCTGATTCTCTCTAATCATTCATTACACCGTAATCTGCAGTGAGTAATATATTGTGTGATTGGTTTTATTAGAATCAGCGTGATCTTAGAAGAAGGCCTGTATCTTGTGTTGTTAATGATTAGATTTTCAGTTGAAACCTTGCTCAATATTATCTCTAAATCATTCGAGTCGAGTCGAGGTTGGCTATGGACTGGCTTGATCCAAAATCAAATCGAGCTGATTATGATTTATTAATTTCAATTCTAGCTCATTTTAAATAGAAAATCAATGCAGTTTTAATTGACTTTTGAAAATTTTTAGTTGAGAATTTGTCTGTTGATTTTGATTCAAGTTGAAAGTCAATTCCAATTTAGACCAATTTACCATCTTTTAGTCAAGTCCCTATCCACTATGGTTAAACTGCTTGAACTCAACTATGTTGGAGAAATTATTTTGTGCGGAGGCCGGACATAGCTTTACGTCCGGAGGCGAATTAGGTGCATCCACATTAGAGGTACCGAGCAGTACCGAGTCACGGTACATAACGAAGATGTGACATGACACATTTTGATTGATCTCCGGATGACATTGGACGTCTGCACAAAATAATTAATCCCTTTCTTATGTTGTGGCATTTGGTTATATGTTTGATATGATTTATAAATGTGAACTAATCAAATAATAATTTTCACATAATTTTCAGGTTGTCAACCATTCAGTATTTGTGATAGAAAGATACTAGAAATCTATTACAAGAGAATCCTATTTTTTTTAAAAGCAATATTTAAGGCAGTGAGACTAATCTGGCATGAACAAAGTCTTGCAAACTTGAGTCCAAATGAGCTTGTGTTAAACTCTTAGGTTATCTCCAACGGAGAACTCCATTTTCACTGCAAAATACAACAAAATTTCAAAATGCCGTGGTGCTGCTCCAATCGAACATCATTTTATGTGCTTCTGCGAAGGTAACGATCCTTCTCCCTTTCGCTCGTTTTTCTGGTTGAGAGAGCAAAATAGTGTAGCTGAACAGTGCAACGCCAATATTGGCGTCGCACAGTTCACCCACAAGTAAATGACAGAAGATTTGGGGTTCGGCTAGAGCGACCGAACGACACCATACGCTCGTTTGATGTTCGGTTGGAGATGCTCTTAGAAGCCTAATGAAAATTTCTCTACATCTTTTGAGAGATCAAATGTCTGCCAAAATTTATTTGCTCACAGTCAAAACAATCATCTTGAACAAATAAATTCATCAAATTCAAGATCATTTAATTGCAGTTTAGTAAGGTACAAAGATATTCAAAAAAATATAAATGACGATGGAGAGCTTAATTGGACCATTTGATGGAGTGTCTATACATATATCATGTTCCTATACATTTGGAAGAAATTTTAGTTGAGAGAATTATCAGGCTAAGATAGTTTTAGAGCTTTAATCCCTATTTGGAATCCTAACCATTTATTTTAGGGTTTAGTTTATCCATACTTCTCCTGTAATATTCTAATACACTTTGTCTTTCCATTGTCGACAATTATCATCTCTCTTACTCTAACAATTGCTATTGCTCATTTTATGTCATCCATCATCGATTGGTACTGAAAAACACCTTTGCTTATCCTTTGATGCTCATATTCCCAATTGTTGACTCCCTTCCAAAGGGAAGTGATTAAGCTAATCGCCAATAATCAACCAATTTTTAACATTCCAAGTCAAAGACCGCCTAACATCTACCAATGAGTGACGTCTAATGTAGGGGTGTCAATTTCGGATTACGGTTCGGGTTCAGGTCGAACCCGAAACTGACCCAGCACTATTCGGGTTTGGGTCGACCCGACCCGTTTTTTAAAACGGGTTGATTTTCTGGACCCGAACCCGACCCGCTTCAGGTTCGAGTCAATCCGACTCAACCCACTGACGCGACATGGCCTCGGGACGCAACGCAGCGTGAAACTACCGGACGTCGGACGCAGCGCGGAACTACCACGGACGCCAGCGACTGATGCTGGACGTGACGCGACATGGCCTCTGGATTTCCAGATCAGGTTTACGGGTCGGGTCTAATCTTGACAGGTCTAATCTAATGTTCATCATCGACTAAAAATTAATGTTTGATATATTTCATCACAAGATATAATGTGTCTTCATTTTATCATCTTTTTTTAAATAACTTTGTTGTTATCACATTCTAAGATTACTTGCCTCTCACATTGGGGTGACTTGTCATTATTCCATCATGAGCTGACTTATCATCTCATCTTTGGACAGCTTGCCATTGGGATGATTTGCCATCTCACCTTAGGACATGCTTCCAATGTCCTATCCAAGTATAACTTATCATCTCATCATGGGAGGACTTAAAATTTTCCCATGCTTCAATAACTTATCATCTTGGCTTGGGATGATTTGTTATTGCCTCAAATTAGGATGATTTAATGTCACTCTTTGAAACAACTTCTCATTATCTTGACTTGAGATAACTTATCACTTTGCCTTGAAATAGCTTATCAAATCATTTTAATTGGCTTCTCGTAATCTCACGTAGGTTCAAACCCACAGCTCGAGCTGAAATCCTTTTGATAGATTTGATGTCATAACGGGCGAACGGTAATATAATTAAATATAATATGATATAAGCCTAATAGGATTGGATTTGGGCTCAACCATGTAAGGTGAATGTGATAAGTAATGAAGTCTCATGTGGGATAAGATCCCCATCATATTAAATTATCTCCTCAATCTCTTTTCAACATAATAATTGGATGAAAAGTAATTTTAATTTAATTTCTTTCTCATTTTCATTTCCACTCTTCCAATTTCTTTAAATAAAACATAGATTAAAGAAAAAAAAACAAAAATAAAATTTATGAAAATTAATTACGAAGCTTTTGACATAAACTACATATCACTTTTATGATATTTGTATTTTTTAGAAATCTCTCTTATCATTCTCTGAATTTGTACGAAAACAAATAAGATTATAAAAATAATGATAATGATGCATTTCTCATGCAAATATTTGCTAGTAATTTTAAATATATATAGAGAGAGAGAGAACTGAAATTTGTTTGCTAAACTTAAATATTTCTTTTCTAAAGTTTAGAATTTAAAAACAAATATCTCACGATCAAAACATATGGGGATGTAGCTCAAATGGTAGAGCGCTCGCTTTGCATGCGAGAGGCACGGGGTTCGATCCCCCGCATCTCCAGAAGTTTTTCTTTTAATAAGAATCTCTCACATGGTAAATTAACGCTTTAAAAACATTAATTTGTTGTATTTTCTTTTAATATCCACGTAAGCTATTATTAAAAAAAAATTAACTCAAATGTAATTTATTTCTCATAATATAATGAGGCCTTTTTTTTTTTTTTTTTTGAACTTACGTGCCAATTAAATTTTAAACTCAATATTTTCTAATTTAGGATTTAAAGTTCTAATTAATAGATCAAGATGAACTGTTTTAAGTCTCATGTAGAATCAATTTAAATCATATCATATTATGTTAATTATTTAACAAAAAGAAATCAGAATTATTTTAATAAAATATGAATAAATAATTATTTTAGATTTTCTTAGAATGTTTTATTTCCAAAAAGAAGCATATAAAATTCTCAAAGAATTCAGGAAAATATAATCATTTTCATAGTCCAAACTCAACAATGTTATATTATATTGGCAAATTATTATTGCATATGCATGTCACTTAACTTTCAAAAAATGATTAAAAAAAAAAAACTTTCAAAAAATGATCAGGTCGCCTGGTCAAGTTGATATTTTGTAAATCCATAAAATTCTGGAATGAAAAAAAAAAAAAAAATTTAATATTTTGTAATTTCATAATTGCATTGTTTCACTTGCTTTCTTCTTTTTAACCACCAAATTTAAGGAAAAAAATCTTTTAATTACTAGTATCACCAGTCTTATTATGTCTAATAAAATATCTTAAATAATGAACACTTTTTTTTCTTAGTAGATATACATAAAAGCATATTTCTTATTCTATGAATGATGCACCTTTTTCTATGTACTAAATCTATAAAATTTATTAAGGAAAAGGATTAATAAGCCCCATTGTCTCTTTAAAAAAAATCAAAATAATCCTATAATGAATCTATTTTGATAGTTCGGACTATTTTGATTATTCATAAAGAACTAAAATATTATTTTGTATCTTTAAAAAAAAAAAGCTTTTTTTGTCATAACATAAAATTTTGAAATTAATGATTTTAGATTTTAGATTATTTTTAATTAAATTATTTATTAAATATACTTTTTCAAGTAATAGCATTTTTTTTATAAAAAAAAAATAATAAATATTTCTTTAATAAAATTATTATTAATTCTAATCAATAATGATCTTAAAATAAAACTATGATTATTAATAAAATTTTAAATTAAAACTAAAACTATTAATCATTTTTTATTAAAACAAAAATTTAATAATTTTTTTAAAAAATATTACTTAAAAATTACATTTGATAAATAATTTAATTTAAAATAACAAAAATACTTCTTGATTTAATACCATTAACCCTAAAATTTAATGCTAGGATAAAAATACCCCTTTTTAAGGAGTTGAATGATTAAATTTGTCCATCAAAATCAAAAAAGTTGTGAACCATTTTGACTCATAAAAGGTTGAGAGACCAATTTGATCATTTTATCTAAGAAGATAATAAGGGGTAATTAAAGAATTACATTCCATAAGTAAAAATAAAACAAGTTCAATGGTAGTGTTTTAAGCAAGTAGAGCTGAGCCGAAAAAAGAGCTCACATGCAATTCAAGGAAGCCTCTCTAGAAGGCAAGAGACCAAAAAAACTAAAAAAAAGCGGTCTAAAATAGAAAAAATTATTACGTGCGGAGTCCGAATAAATCCAAAGGATAATCCAGACGCGGCACATCACCCAATGCACAGTACATTAGATGATGTGGCATGACCGAATTGACCTCCGGACGCATTCAGACATCACACAGAATAATCTGTCCTAAAACATAGCACAAGTATGCTCATTAGTAGAGAACTGAGGTTGGCAACAAAGGCTTAAAACGTTTTGTTAAAAAAAATTAAAGCTGCAGATGTATAATCTATATAAAACTGAATGAATGGCAAGCTTTCAACCTCTCCGGAAGCAAACATGTAGGTACATTTTGAGTTATTGTCGATATCATAACAGGCTTTTCTTCTCATAATGAAGGGAAAAACCTAAAAAAAAAAAGATAAACAGAGTGGTTTTCTACTCAAGAAGCATTGCATTCGATGATCTTTACAATGGAGGAATCCCCAATCTTCTGAAATATCACAGCCCGGTCATAAGGCTTTATGATGCCCGCCGAAGTTCCAAAGTTTATTGCCAGTTTCAAGCTAGCCTCTTCATTTGTGCTGGTCGCACCATCCTGTTTGCCAGGCAAAGAATAATATAACTTATAAGGAGAAAATGGCAATCTAAGCAAAATAAACTAAAATTGTTTGTTACATGGCTGTTAGAAGCATACTTTAATTGTTTACAGCAACAAGCCATGAAAAAAATAGCAGATTGGAACAAAATAATAGGGTGATTATTTCTTAATCATCATACTTAGAGAGGTTTTATTGTGTGCATTCCAGTGATTTGGATAGCCAAAAGCCAAAAATAAGCGCTTGAAATATTTATAGAATTTCAAATAATCCAGCTATTGAACTTGAGTAATGCAAAACTAACTAATGCTATTGCATCTTCTTGTATCATCAAGCATCATCCTCATTATCCTTAGCCAACTACTTCAGGTCGATTATTTTTATAAATTCATACTTTTCATTCATTCATAATGAGTGTGACAAAAAGTGAAAACATATTCTTTGCAAATTATTTTTATGGAGTCAGGATTGCGGCTTACAAGGAGGAGAAAGCGGAGGTGTGGCTTCCGTTTGGATTAGATGTCGACGGGAGCAATTCGAGGTGGACGGACAGATTGAGGTCGTGGGAGATCGAACAAGCTGGGAGGTCAGTGGCTGTGCAGGTGCGATCGTTCGTGGAAGAATGGGAGAGTTGTTGAGATTCGCGGTCGTCTGGGAGGAGGAACCGAGTCAAATTGGTCAGAGGTTTGACGGGTTTTGGGATCAGGCCGCGAGCCTAGGAGCAAATAGAGCCAGCTCGAGGTCGATGTGAGGAGCTCGTGGCCGGATGTTCAGGCTACAGTGAGGCGCGGGATCCGATATGATTTGATTTCCGTGCAATTTCTTGTTCCGTGATTTTTGTTGAATAAAGTTATAGATGTTCTTAGATGACTCAAGTGTTTCGAAAGCAACAACAAAGTCTACTTTGAGATCAGACGTCATTTGTACAGCGTCGTGCGTCATTCTCAGGTGTCGGCCGCCGATTTTGACCAGTCTTGTCAGATTCCACCTCGAGCTGGTCCCACTTAGGCAAATTCGACGCTATGATCACAACAACACAATCCGTTTGACGATCGGAGGTCATTTGACCCTTCAAGTGATGCTTCACGCAAGCTGAACGTCATCTTGAGTCGCCAACTTTGCTCCTTTCACATGTTTTTGTTATATGGGTGAACAGTCATTTAATATTTTTTATAAAAAATATGGAATGATATAAAGACAGTAAAAGAAATGACTTATGTGGGAATAGTTGCATGTGCATCGTTCATGGTACTAACTAGAGATGCACCGTGTATGTAAATTTAAAAAATTTTGGAAAAAAAAAATTTAATTTGCACTAATTAGATGGTGGCTCTTGTGGTGACTATTATTCCTAGAAAAAAAGAACACGATGATTTGAAGTCACTTACAACATCGTCTATAAATAAATTATTATTAAATGTTGTTGACTAATAAAAATGACGAATAAAATAATTAAAATGAAGAAGAAGAAAAAAAGAGCGGAGAAATAAACAGAAATTGAAGAGTTGCATCTCTTCATGCCCTCGATCCGACCCCACCTCGCCAAACGACGCCATTATTTGATTTAACAGCTACTATCAAACGATGTACTCAATAAAAAGGGGAAGAGAAACAGATAGAGGAACACTTCCAATTTCTCTGAAAATTTCTTACTCTTGCAATCGTGTCTCCCATCTAAAGTCGACTTCGTATCCAACTTCCTGTCCACGCCTCTCCTCTCCGCCTCAGGCTCCTTCAATTTTGTCAACAGTAAGCACCCGACTCAGTCATTTTTCTCAGTCTTCTTCCCCACTTCACCACGGCCAAATCCCCATACAGCCGCCTCCAAGGGTTGAAGCCAGTGGCCGCACTCTCATACGAAACACGAAACATTTCCGACTCAATGATTTAGATTCTTCTGTTATAATCTTATTTCATCTTTTATTTAATCTTATAACAGATTTTTACTTTCCACTCAAATAGAGTTCATCATTATTATACTGCCACCTCTTATCTATTACTCATATTTAAATCCAAAATGAAGGCAGATATTTCTTTTGAAGTATAATTGGCCATTCTTATTACTCATCTAAATCCAAAAGCCATCATTGCATTTTGTCTTATTCTAAGGATTTAAGATCGACGGCGTGAGGTTTAAGGATCTAAGATCGTTGACCTTAGGTCCGACCGGGATGGTTTAAGGTCGACGGCGTAGATTAGATTCTGTTAGAAGAATTGTTTGTTTAAACTATCCCACCAGGATCTAAAATCGACTGCGTGAGGTCTTCAAATTTAAAATCATCTCGGTCGGACCTAAGGTCAACGACACGAGGTCTTCAGATTCCAAACCATCTGCTCGGATTAAAAATCAACGGCGCAGGTCTTCAATTTCAAACAATCCCGGTCGGACCTAAGGTACGACGACCGGGGTCTTCGATTTAAATTCTTCCTGACCGGATTTAAAATGGACGGTGCGAGGGCTCTGTAATTTCTTATTTGCCCATTTGATTATGAGCCATAGAAGCAAAATTAGAAATTGTAATTAGATTTGAATAGTATTTGCATGCAAAAAATATTAAAATGAAGCAGAAACTTCATATTGAAACTTTTACTGCTTTGGGACTTTAGTTGAAGGCCACTTAAATTTTTGCTATTGTTTTTTTTTTTTAAAAAAAAAAAATCTGTATGAAAATTTTTATGCATGCAAAGGAGACGTGTATATTACATTTAAATTGGCTAGCATAACTTAGTTACAGAGATTATATTTCTTATATAATTTTAGAATAAGACAAAATGCAATGATGGCTTTTGGATTTAGATGAGTAATAAGAATGGCCAATTATACTTCAAAAGAAATATCTGCCTTCATTTTGGATTTAAATATGAGTAATAGATAAGAGGTGGCAGTATAGTAATGATGAACTCTATTTGAGTGGAAAGTAAAAATTTGTTATAAGATTAAATAAAAGATGAAATAAGATTATAACAGAAGAATCTAAATCATTGAGTCGGAAATGTTTCGTGTTTCGTATGAGAGTGCGGCCACTGGCTTCAACCCTTGGAGGCGGCTGTATGGGGATTTGGCCGTGGTGAAGTGGGGAAAAAGACTGAGAAAAATGACTGAGTCGGGTGCTTACTGTTGACAAAATTGAAGGAGCCTGAGGCGGAGAGGAGAGGCGTGGACAGGAAGTTGGATACGAAGTCGACTTTAGATGGGAGACACGATTGCAAGAGTAAGAAATTTTCAGAGAAATTGGAAGTGTTCCTCTATCTGTTTCTCTTCCCCTTTTTATTGAGTACATCGTTTGATAGCAGTTGTTAAATCAAATAATGGTGTCGTTTGGCGAGGTGGGGTCGGATCGAGGGCATGAAGAGATGCAACTCTTCAATTTCTGTTTATTTCTCCGCTCTTTTTTTCTTCTTCTTTATTTTCATTATTTTATTCATCATTTTTATTAGTCAACAAATGTTATTATTTTTTTTTTTTATGTTTTAAGGTAAGCATGCATATTATTTCAAAATTACATAATATTACTAAAATTTAGAAATATGATGTATTCACTTATTTTGTTGTAATATTAAATAAATGTATACGATAAAATCTAGTGAAATTAAATGAGTGGAAGAGAGAAAATATGTATCATATACGTGATACTACATGAGGTATTTTTCAATAATTAAATTATTTTTCTTAAAATAAATTTGAAGCATTTATTTGCTCTTTCAGTATGTTGGAAGGATTTGTTATTAATAATGTTAGCGAATGAAACTTTAAATATCCGTCCCACCGTTTATTCCTGTCTCATTAATTTGAAACTTTAAATATACTTGGCATAATCCAATTATAATTAAAAAAAAAACATTTGGCCACTTCACAACCAAGTACAATATATATACTGATCAATTAGAAAAAAAAGAATGTTGCCAAAGAGAAAAGTATAATTGGCTATATATAATGTCATAAAAATGCTTACCCTGATTGATCCCCCTAAAACTGGAAATATTCCCTTTACTGGAAGAAGTTGCCTAGCCTGCACCAAGGAAATAGAAATAAATAATAGTACCCCAATGTAAGATTTTGCAACATCTAATTCAACCAATAATACAAAATACTTCATGAATTAGCTTTTCTTCCATTATGATAATTGAAATTTTCTATACCCGAGCAGTTCCGGTTAATGCAGATGTACTAGCTTGAGATGAGGTTACAACGGCCAACACAGGCACTGGGGGCCTATACTTTGCAACCAATCTTGCATGGAAAACATTAAATCACATATCTAGGGTTCGCATTGCAGGCTGATATTTCTGAAAAGGAAAGGTTATAATTATTTGTACCTTGCTCCCTTGCCAGATGAAGTTAACACAATGATCACTGCAGCCTTGACTTTGATTGCAGCCCGAACCTTGAAGAAGATTTATATATCAATTATAGCATCTCATACAAGCAAATCATATAGATGAAAATAATCACAGCATGATAGATATTAAGGCTTCGTTTGGGACGGCTTTTTTGCTGCTTCTTAAAGCAGCTTTTTAGTTAAAAATTTTAACTTTTGTATTAAAAAGCTGCTTTAAGAAGCAGGAGGAAAGCCATCCCAAACGAAACCTAAAACAGTTTTACCGCAGATGATGCAACCGACTCATCATGCGACATTGGTTCTTCAACATGCTTCACTATAACTTTGAACTGTATAGACTGATTAGAGACACTTTCCGCCTACAAAATATTTAAAACTAATTAAGCACCTCTATATATATATATATATATATATATATATATATATATATATAAAGAAACATTGCCAACAAGTTCTTTCCAAGTAAGTCATCATAAAAATATGAGAAAAGATGCTTACTTCAGCACATATTCTACCCACAGTACTTATAGATTCAATAGGATACAGACCTCTGAGTGTTTCTGCACCTAGTAAGATACCATCAGTCCCTAAAAATGGAGAAGAAACAAAATTATTCATTGGCATACCATAATAAAGACAAAGGTCATTTACTATATAAACCGATAATTGAATTACAAACCATCCAGCACAGCGTTGGCCACATCAGTTGCTTCTGCACGTGTTGGACGCAAATTATCAATCATGCTATCAACTACTCTGGTAATTATCGCAGGTTTGCCCGCAATATTGCATTTACGAATAGCAGATTTCTGGAATAAAAACACCTGGAACAGACATAGATCATGCAGATATAAAATAGTCTAGTGCAAATTTTTAGAGTACAAAAATATATATATTTTCGAAGTTAATTAAAAATAAATGATTTTGAAATACATAACACCTAAATCTATTCTAATTATATATCTAACATCTAAACCTTACTATTTATTTATCTACCAACTAAACATCATTCTCTTCCTCTAAAATACCACTCCGTTAACTCCCATCTTTACCTACGAGCCCGACTCTGCCTCGGACGCGACCAAACTCCTCCCATCCTCTTCGCTTTAGCAGATTTGTTTTTCATCTTCTCAATTTCTTCATTGTTGTCGTGTGAAGTGCTTTGGACAAGTAATTTCCGCCTCACGGCAGGATCTACACCATGAAAGTCATCTACGACACAGAAAGAAGGGCGATGAATCCCAAAACTTGAAACAAGCTGCATCACATCAAATCTTTACCATATAAAGATAGATAAAGAGAGATAGAGATAGAGAGAGAGAGACCCTCAATCGATCAATATCATTTTATAGCAGTAAAGAAAGTGTTTCCAATAGTTTCTCTCAATCATCAATACTTACAGTTATCCTAATTTAATAGGATCAAGAAAAAAATCAAGACTGAAAGAAAAATACAATAAAAAATTCTGCTTTGATAAGCTCTAGCTATGAAAAACTCTTAATTTTATTGATTAATAAATGACACTGAACTAAAATCAAATCCACAACAAAGGAGTTCAACAAATTTGTCGATCGCCAGCCCAACATGCATCTCAGGCCTAATTCAATTCATAAAAAATCTTAAGCTCGGAGATTCATAGTAAAAGAGGAGGAAGAAGAGGAGGAAGAAGAAAATGATGAAGACGACAATTGTGATTGCTGCATGATTAAACAATGTTGAAGAAGCTAAATAGTCATGAAGCAATAAAATTCCTCAAATTGCTCGACGCATTCTAGGGAACCTCCATCAATGTAAGTGAGGCCTAAGAGAATCTGACGGGCAACATCAGCGAGAGATTGCTCCGATGATATACGATGGCCTTCTAGGGAAACTCCGTCCATGTATTCAAGGAGAATATGGATCTTGCAAGCGTGGTCGTACATGCCGTGGCACGAACGTCAATGGGGTTATCGACAATTCGGAGGATTTCGATTTCACAGTAGAGCTGGTGGCGGACAGCATCCTCATGGTTGCGTAGATGACTTTAATGGTATAGAACCTGCCGGTGGGGCGGAAATTACTTGTCCGAAGTAGAAGATGAAAAGCAGACCTGCTCGAGCGAAGAAAGGCCAGAAGTTCAATCGTGTCGGGCTGGTAGGAAAGACGGGAGCTAATGGAGTGGCATTTTAAAGGAAGAGAATGATATTTAGGTGGTAGATAAATAAATAATAAGGTTTATGTGTTAGATATGTAATTAGAATAATTTTAGGTGTTATGCATATAAAAACCTCTAAAAAAACAAACAATTCTTCTAACAGAATCTAACCAACATATTTCCGCTCAATTGATGAAAAATTTATCACCTTCTCGGGAGGAAGATCTATCCCTAGATTCCCACGTGAAAATATAATTCCATCAGCTTCTTGTAATATCTCATCAAAGTTCTCCAATCCCTAATCATAATTATCAATGAAAAAAAAAGAGGTCCTCATATTTTATAATCAACCTTGATATGGGATGCTATAACTTTAAAAGTGATATTGAAAAAAAAATTGATAAAAATGACAAGAAAGCTCACCTCTGCATTTTCAATTTTAGCATAAACCTGAGTTTCATGAAGATCAGCAGATTGAAGAAAAGCTCTAAGCTGCATTCAACGGACACAAATATAAGACTTCTTTATGAAAATAAAGGACAATGGTAAGTACCACGACAGCTAATTTTAACACTTGTATCAAATTATGGAACGTGCAGCAATACTTTCATGTAAGACTTTTATCCAATACATAATTAGGCAAGTTAGGAAAAAATCATTAAAAATCACAACAGTAAGGTAAATTTTTTTTTAATTATTATATATTTCTAGACCCCACTACGATGAAGATGATTAGGCAAGTTAGGAGAAAAAAAATGAAGGGCTATATCTCTTGAAGACGAAAACCACTTGTCATATTTTTTTCATTTTCAAACTTAATATAGAAGCCATATGAGAGCATCACTATAGTCTAGCGCATCCCTCTTTCAAGACTAAGGTATGTTTCATTTTCTTTCTATGAATGAAAACATGAAAAATTATCATTGCGAGACTTGTCAAATTGCTAAACATCATTGTAATTTTTTTTTTAGATCATTTACTCTTTTTTTAATTGTTCATCTTGACATTTGATCCCCAACATTTTTAGAAATACAAAATTTATCACCTTTATTGATGATTCCACTCAGATGATTTAGATAATCTTATCAAATAAAAATATAATGTCATTATTATTCTCCCTATTTTACCCCATAATACAAAAATAATCTAATATTAACATCAAGGTATTTCTGATTAACAATACTCGTGATTATCACGTATTATCATCTTTCTTCAAAAAAAAAAAAGAATCACCAACCAATCCACTTGCCCTGACACTCTCTACTAAAATGAAACAAAACAAAAGAAAATTTGTCATTATTTGGAAGTCATGAAGACTTTCTTTTTTAGAATCAAAGATGTAAGAACCTGTTGAACCGGTTCAATCGAATCGGTCCATTTCCATATAAGGGAATGAACGAAGTGGGCAGAGCGAGGGGGCCAAACAAACAAACGGGTGAGCGAACCGGCTGGCGAAATGTACGAGCAATCTAAAGGTGATTGATAGGCATGTGAGGGGTTGGAGATGATCACGAGTGAACATATATGACTACTCATTGAGGGATATATCATTTCGCTTCTTTCAGAGAGACCAAAGGGGAGGAAGCAAGGAATTTTGGGAGAAAGCAAGAAAGAAATTGTGTGAAAGAGAAAAGTTGGAGGAGAATTTCTTCTTCAGTTGAGGTTGTCGAATAATTTGTGCTCGGCAGGAGGAAGAAGAAGAAAGAGGAGTTTATGAGTTTCTATTTCTAATGGCAGAGAAAGTGAAGAAATCCAATTGATGAAAGTCTCGATTCGACGAGGAAGAAGGAAATTTAGGGGGAGAAATTCAACTGTTGAATCGCGGCAAAGCACTAGAACCAAGTAAAGGTTCTTGAGGAAATTTAGGTGTGCATTAAAGAAGGCCCTTTAAGGACTAAAGAAATTTGGAAGAGTTCCAACACACAAAAAAACAAAATAAAGTGAATGATTTTATTTATATAGCAGATACATTTTTAGTTTTCTTCGATGAAATTGTCTGATATTGTATCAAGCATGTGTACTTGTTAAATTTTAAAATATCTATTATGCATTAAATTGAGAAAAATGAAGCAATCAAAATTATAGCATGATTTCATTTGTATGAACCCCTCCAGTTGAGATTTGCATTCAACACGGTCATCATCAGGGTTTTATGAGTATTGTCTTTTCGTTAGTCAACATTATCAACCCTATTTGCTTGCAAACAAACGATCAGTTTCAGCTCATAATTTTTGGAGTTATCGTATATATATCAGAACCAGTGGTATTTATTTTAATATGTGAATTTTCTTTGTAAGAGACCTTGAAATCCTAATATGAACGTATAAAATTATATAGTTCAGTTAACATCAACAATTGTCGGTTCTTAGAGTTTATGCTTTTAGCAGTGAATCTTTCTTATAATAGACCTTGAATGTCTAATATGAATGTATAAAATTAAATACTCCAGTCGACATTACCAATGTTTAAAATTGTGTAATTGGATATTGAGGCGTTTTTTGTTCGTGAGGTGAGGCGTAAGCCTCAAAATAAAAAATTGCGTAATTGACAAATAAGGGTTAAAAATGATTTCTTATATAATACCCAAACAAGATGTTAAAAGATAACATATTATATTTCTATTGAACTATGAAGTAACACATTGACATATATATGAAATAAAAATTACACAAGACGTAAACTGACTAGTGACAAATTACATGAAATATAATTGAAATACAAATATTAGATGAGCAAAATAATATTAAATGTAGAAAATGCTTGAGTATCATATAACATTAAGTTCAGCTCCAAATTCTTTATTTCTCAGTTCTCTACTCATCTACATTTAATTTCTAAAAAAGATTGAAATAGTTGGCAATAACTAGAAAATCATCCATACTATCAATACTGAGGGTATCTTTATTTGAGTCATAATTATAAAAAATTGGTCTCTCCCCTGTCATCCTGTAGAGCCCAATGCCTCATAATATACTTATTATTCATTTATTTCAGTCATCTTCCTCTCTTACAAATGTTTTTCATCAACATAAAGATAAAATTAATACTCTAAAATTTTTAGATGAGGTGGTGGTGGTGTGCGGCTTTCAAGTGATCCTTAACGGCGGCTATGACGACAGTGGATGTGGCGAAGGTGACAAGTTGGAGATTGAGGCAGTTGTTGCAACTCAGGGTTGCATGAAGGCGTGATTTGTTCGGGACTTTACTTTAGGATTTATGTAAGTTTTAATAAAAGAATCTATATAAATAGGGTGAGACGTAAGCCTCACGCTAGCGAGGCGAGGCACGCCTTAAGGCGGGTGTCAATGAAGCTGAGGCACAAGCCTCGTTAAAAAAAACCCGAGGTGCAGGCCTCAAGGCATTTTTCACTGGAATTGTGATAGGAAATACTTGAGTTCGCAAGTAACCCTAAGGGAAATACTTGAGTTCGTTAGAAAACCTATCACTAATTGGTGAAAACAACGATAATAATGCAAAATCTGGGCGAAATCAGCCCCAAAATGATGGATTGCAATAAGAGAAACAAAGCTGAACAAACACGAGAACAAGATACAAATGATCCTCAATTCGAGAGGAGGATCGTCTCTCCCAAATCTCTAGACAAGAGAGTCTAGATCCCAAATGCCAAGAAACTCTAATTTGCAATCAAACAAAATATAACATCTCCCTAATCCCCCTCTATTTTATCCCCACGTAGTGGGATAAAGGCTTGATGTTGTTGTTGTTGTTGTTGTATTGATGGGTGGGACCCATCAATTTGGGAGGACAACAGAAGAGGAGGCGGAGCTTGTCCGCCTCCTATAAACTTGAGTTGACCTTTGAGCCAGCTCAGTCAGTTCAATATGAACCGGCGGCTTAACAAATTGTGCTAAGGCGGGCCTCAATGCGAGCCTCATATTGCGCAATTTTAAGCAATGAACAATACGACCATGTATTTGTTTGGTGGTTCAAATTGCGTTAACTCCAGTCCATTCAAAAAGAAGGATTGGACTTGAACTTAAATTCACTTTTGACCTCTGCAACATCCCCAGGCGTCATATGTGTAGATATATGACACTCATCAGAGCTCATGCGGGTACTTAAATTTCATTTTAAATGATATGTGTGTGTATGCCAGCATACTTATACAATGTGTTTTGTACGTTTGAAAATTCATTCATTATTTCTTTAGCCCACGCAGCATCCTCGGACATCACATATACGTCATGCTCATCGAGGCCCATGCAGTTATCTTAAATTTCATTTTAAATGATAATAGTGCGTATATCAGCAAACTTATACAATGTATTTAGTACGTTCGAAAATTCATTCATTATTTCTTTGGTCCGTGCAACATCCTCAGACGTCACATATATGTCACACTTATCAAGGATATACCTTAGGTGCGTAGCAGAAGCGGAGGCGACGGCGAACGATGAGTTGACACGACGCATGAAACCTGCGATGCACAAATAGATTTTTTATTATCATTTATTCTATTTAATTTTATGCATATATTTATTTTATATTATTTTTTAAAATGGAGGCTACAGAGAAAAAGAGAGGATCCAATCCCTCTTTTTAGAGAGAGAAAGAGAGGGAAGGAATGGATTTAGTTAGGGTTTTGGTGGGAAGGGTGTAGTGGTGAGTGTTGTGGTGTTAGAGAGAGAAAATTCCTCTCTCACTCCAAATTTAGAGAGATAGAGAGAGGGAAATTTTTTTCTCTTTAGGTTGAGGGAAGAGCATGAACAGGGTGAGAGGAGGTGGAGGTGTTGAATGAGGTACTTGAAGGTTGAAATCATGGATTTTCTCTCCCTTTCTATAGAGAAAATTCTCTCTGTAGAATGGGATGATGGAGCTTTTTGATTTAGAGGGTGTAGGAGATAGAGATGAGGCTTCTTTTGTGAAGGTATGTTCATAGTTTGAGGGATGGAGATGAAGAAATAAAAAAATTAGGGTTAGATTTTGGGGTAGGTTTTTGGTTAGATTTTGAGGAGGAAGCAGAAGAGAGGAAAGGAAGAAGAGAAGAAGAAAAGGAGGGAAATGGAAGAGGAAGAAAAAGGAGAAGTCAATGGAGAGAAGGTGAGAAAAAGAGAAGAATGATATTTTAGGATTTAGGTTTTTTATTTTCATTTTTATTATTATTATTTTTAATTTCATTTCTATTTATTATTACTTATATTATATAATATCTAATTTTTTTAATTAATTGTGCATCGACATCATCGTCATCATTCACATTCGCACGCTTCAATGTTGCCTCGTTTCACACATGCAAAATTTAAATTTTCGCCAATCGACGACCATAATAAATATGAGTGTCGATCTTAGTTGTTTCTATTGCTCTGGACGCATTAGCGCTGTCCGTTTTGCAATCGGAGGCCATTTATGTGATTTGGATTTTTGGTCAAAGCTCGTCGGGTGAGTTATGCATGAAGTCGTGCTTTTTTGCTTCCGAAAATCATCATAAGCGGTCAATCCAACCTCGACACTAGTATTGAGGTCAACAACCA